AATCATCTCCAGCTTCAAGTCAGTTCTATCTAACATTGATTTTTGGACAGCAATATCAAATAAATTTAAAAAAAATTCAATTCTGTTTTAGAACAGTGAAAAATTCTGCCAGTGCAGTTAGAATATTTAAACATGTTTCCATTAGAAAGCAACATAAGTCAAGAATTGTCATGATTGATTCCTGATGATCAAACATGATTGCACACTCAAGAACACTTAACAAAAATGTGTTGAACACATTGATAAATACTGTAGCATTCAGAGGCTACTCTGAGTGCTTTGAATGCACAGATGTTTTGTACTGGCTTTCTTGCTTGACTTACACCCACCTATTGTTCCTCTCTATCTCCATGCATACTGAAGAGAAGTTTGCTCCATGAGAATCAAGGAAAATACAATCTAGTTTTTAGAAAATGCATGAGGCGAGTTAATCTGCATTGGAAATGGACAGACTTTCTTCACTTGTTTTAAGAAAATAACACTTTCTGAACTAACTTATTGGCAAAAATGACTTGATGAGAAGCAGTTTATGATTATCTTTTGCCTGCAGAGACTGGTGAATCAATAATGATGTGCCTTATTGGCCGACTTTCTGCAGAATCTAAGAAATATTCACTCTAGTGTTGCTAATTGCCAATGTTGCTTTCATCACTTCCTCAAATGGCATCCTCCTTTACGAAAACGATGCCATATCACCGGGGACTAAACTTAAACTTTTACTATTTCTCTCCAGTCGTGCTGTGTCTGCCTGACCTGCTGCCAGCGCAGTTATGGAGCACGGCGGAGAATCAAACATGGCGTTAGTTTGAGGAGATGCATGAGAGGGAGTTTATCAACAGAGGCTGCAGGAAGGAGGTGTTTTGAAGTGAGGAAAAACGTATTTAAAAAAATACTCACATTGCACGCACTTTCTACCCACTTTAACAACCGTCCCAGTTCACAAATAGCAGTTTTAACTCCCCTGATTAGCACTGACATCTGCAGCCTTTCATCTCTCCCTCCATCTTGTTTTTTTAATCAGATTAACCCAAACGGGCATCCTTTAATGGCCTCTTTTTTAGGAAAGCTGAAAGAGGAGAGATAATTAAAATAATTAAACCGCTGGGACCGGTCTGTGCACGCTCATCTCTCGCTCTTTTCTTTTCTTCTTGCCTTTAAGTTTTGATTCTGCCTTGCTTACTGATTCAAGCAGCACAGAGAGAAAGACTCATCATCCTCACTTAATTGCGTTAAGTTGACTCTCGGAGGTCCAATTTTTCCCTCCAAAACCAACAGCCAATGTAGGATCTGATCTTTAGGTGCATGTCAGCTATCTAAATGTGGAAGTAGAGGGGGGAGGGCACGTTTCTAAACAGCCTTTATGGAGCATATTTATTTAGTCAGTGAGTGTATTTTGCATAAGGCCAAAGATAAAAAAAAAAAAAAAAAAAAAAAAAGGGGAAAAAAGTATCCTCTTTAATGATTATTTATTCATGGACTTTTAAGCTTTTAATGAGGACAAATGAAGCCGTTTTCCAGAGTGTCAGTATGTAGTATGCTTACCAAAAATATTCTTGTTTAGCATTTTCTTTTGCACTGTGTGTCCGTGAGGAATAAACACTAACATTTAAATATAACTAGGAGTTTGGAGCGAGACTTTTAAGTGATCAGTTTATCTTGATCTTGCATGAATATAAAATTTCCCACAAGTTTTGATCAGACTCGTGATGATGATGATTTATTAATTTTCAGTAATCCTTGTAATTGAAGCTAAATTGAAAAAATTTAATTGATGACCATTGCATAGGAAAGCTTTTAAAAATTAAGTGGTTAATGAGAGTCTGGATGCTTTCCAAAATAACATTTTCCCAACTTCTTTCAGACTAAAACATACATAGCAACTTTATCAGTCACTGACCTCCTGAACTAGACAAATATATGCTCCTTTATATCAATTATTCACTCCTGTGTGATTCATTCTCATTCATATGAACACACGTGTCGTACGGTTGTACCTTCTAACTTCTCCACTAACAACCCCAGAAAAAAAATAAAAGTAGGCTATACTGCACCGTCTAAGTTATATTTTGCATTGTAGGTGTACATATCTTGAATATTATAATAACACGTCTTCAGATGAATTCAAACTTTACTTCCTGTCAAAAAGAATCTAATGAATTCTTGCATGAGGATTTTACCGAGAGCAAGAGCCCCGACATCCTCTTCGGAGTGCAGCCCCAACTTTACACAAGCTTGGATGTCTTTTTCCCCCCTCATACACTTTCACTTCATTCAGATCATTTTCACAGGGCTTCATTTCAAGTTGGCACAAAAAAAAGGAAAGAATCCCTTTGCTGGAAATACTTAAGATTTATGTTTAAATTTTCATGGAATCTTTGAGAACATTGAGGAGCAATTTCACATTTGCACTGACATCTAATTTCTCAAGTAGAGTCTGAAAGCACAAATTGCCAAGGATTCCCTATGTGCCCAATTATCCTGCATCAATTTCCTTGACCCTGCGGAATGCTGGTAAATTAATCATACCACTTTTTTTCTTTTTTTGGACTCTCTCTCATGAAATACATATGCACGCGTTTGATAAACTAATCATACTTGGTCGGTTATACTCACAAAAAATGATTCACTCCTGGAAGCAGGATGAGAGTTAACAGCAAGGCCCAGGGAATTGGGAGCTGATAAAACACACACAGTCACGTATGTACATACACAAAGCACACACACGGAAAATAAAAAAACAAAATGACAGAATACTGTTAGTGGTAAGTGTTATGTTTTTCTTTTTTTTCCTACTATGTACTTATTTGTATTAAAAAAATCAAATAAATTCAGAAATGAATGAGACAGATTTAATTGTATAAATCAACGTGGAGGAACTTTTATTTGAACACCAGTAATATTTCTGGTTTTGGTTTATTGTCTGCTGTATTTGGAGAAGGTGTTTCTGTTTTGTTTTCGCGATACGGCTGTTTCCTTATTAAGTAATCTCAAGTGAACTGACATAGTACAGGAAAACACACAAAATGGACTGAGAGAAAATACACATTACAAGACTTCTCGTCAATATCATCGAGTCTGCTGTCATATATGGACCTTAGCAGCAGCACCATTAACAGCCTAAGGATCTGAATCATCTTCAATCATCAACTGTGTAACACCATATTTACCACACTGCCTTACCTGTTGATCCCAATATGGCTGCAGAGTCCGCTGTTAGTTTTTGGAGCAACAGTGTCCTCTGGTGGAAACAGGACAACAAACAGAAGAATAAAAGTAAATACAAACAACATGGAAACAGGGACACCTACAGTATCTGTGAAATGATCACAGTAGTGTACCTACTTTCTTTTTGAAAAGTCGGCAGAAAAAATTGTATATTGTTGAAGTATCTAACAATAAACTTTAGGTAAAGAGAACATTGTCTTTGGTATAACTTATATCGCCATACAAGAGGCTCTGACATGAAAATAATGACCATAAAAGTAACTAATAAAGCCAGTAGTTTAGTTCTTAAGTGACAACCACTATCAGGCCTATGCAGACACACCACTGACAGTATATTCACACCCTGCACTCACACTGACATTAGCTAACATTCAGTCCTTCATGGTAATAAAACCAGTATAAAATGCAGCAGTCATGCACGTAAATGAAATTGAGTTTACAGGTTTTTATCTTATATTTTCAGTCTGGAAGTGTTAGTGAACTGCAGGAACTACCATTGCTATCTTCTTGTTTAGCTAATGAAATATAAATGTGGGATTTGAGAACATTGGTATGTCAGACTCACCTGTGTTGTTATTTATTGAAGGAAGTAGTTCGACCTTTTGGTAAATACGTTCATTAGCTAGTTAAGAAGACTAATATTACATATTTATCCATTGAATATGAAGCTACGTTAGCTTATTTTAGCTCAACTTAGCTCAGATACACAAACAAACACGATGTAAGGCAGCGGGCAGGCGGGAGGGCTTGGCTAGCTGTTTCCATCAAAGCAAGTAAGGCTAAGTAGCTAACTTAATTAAAACATTATTTCTACAATACTTAACAATTAACCAGCGGCAATTTTTACGTTACCATGTTGGTCTATCTGTACTTGAGTCATGTTCTGTCTGTTTTTATAAATTAGTATTACAGTACAACTACCTTGGTATCCTTTAAAAATATTATTGTTATAAGTTTCAGCACAGGGAGTCTCGCGATACCATCGGAGATCTCAGCATCTCGTGTCCACAGGACGGATATCAAAACTAAACTAAAAACATTTTAGACACCTCAGGTTGGGAAAAACTCTTTTTCATGAAACAAAACTGATGTATCCCCTCCAATGCAGACGGTCTCCAGTCAGTGTAAAATGCTTCTTTTTCCTTTTCCTGAATAAAAGTTGGAAAGGACATATAAAGGCACAATGGACATAGGAAAAAAGTTAACTTGAAACTAAAGATTATTTTTGTCATCTATTTATCTGCTTTACTAGTTTCTCAACTAATTATTGTCTATAAAATGTCAGAGAAAAAAAAAAATTACAATTTCCCAGAGCCAATAGTGACATATTCAAATTGTTTTATCTGATCGACAGTCCAAAAGATATTCAGTTTACTATGATATCAGACAAGGAAAAGCAGCAAATCTTCTCTTTTAAGAAGATGGAAAGTTAAATCAGTTATTAGAACAATTTTCTGTCAATAAATTAATTGATTTATCATTTGGCTCTAGGGCTCATACCTGTACTGTACCCAGGTGGGCTTTATATCACAGCGCTTACCACCAAAGTAAATCACTGACTCTCTGTTCATCTGTTTTCTATCAAACTGAAAACCAACCACAGTTTAGCAGGATGGACAGACTCTTTTCAATCTGCAAACATCTGAAAGTTTCCAGTCCCAAAAATAAACTCAACCTTCACTGACAAAACACCTCATTGTTACATCTCTACGGATGTACAAACCAAATCGAGGGGCTGACATTCAGCAGCCAAAAAAAAGAGCAAAACTCAGAACTGTAGTGCAAAACATTGAAGACGATCTTTATTGTTCACAGTTAAACACAAGCCACTGCTTTAAGAACTTCCTTTTTGCCATTTTGTCCCAGATTCTCCAGCTCTGGTCAGAGTCCTGGTCTCTTCAGTTTGTGCTGATTGTACCTTCTGTCTTGGTTTGCTGTAGTTACTACGGTTGGCATTTAAAGTGGATTGTTGAACATGCTTTAGATAGCGAGGCAAAAGGAAGTGACAGCAGGAGTTCCCAGTGGACAACAGGATTTAGTCAACTTTCAAAACTGGAGTTTACTTCTAATACTTAGAAGAAACGAGGTAACTCCGTGTTTATCAGACCTGCAGAAGGGAACCTGATTGGACAAGATGTTTTTGGTTTTATTTCCCACGCTGTACCAGCTGAACGTACATGCAACATGAGAAACAACACTTCTGTTTGGAGATGTTTGAACTCAGCCAGACCACAAACGTTTGCATGGCACTTCATTATGATCAGCTGGTCGTCTCGAACAGAAAAAGATGGTTTATATAACTTGTCACTGCCAGGTCTGATTCTAATTTAGGATATGTACTTGTGAGCACCCTTCATGGCTGAATAAATAAAAAAAAGAAAAGGTGCGACGGAATGTGAAATTTATAAAAATGCATACAATTTCATCAATTTTCTAAATTTCATACACTTTCCTCGTTGCATCTTTGCCGAAGCACGAAATCCAACATGACTGCACCACCAACACGCTCGCACATTCGCAAACCAAACACATTCTCCTCCTGACTTCTTTTGGTTAGTTTTCCAATTCAGTCCAGCAGCGATAAAGTCACACTCCCAAGGTTTCCTCAGAACAAACATCTCTACGTACTGATCACCTCCACCACTCTGATGTAACACTCACGCAACATGCACTCAGATATCAAAAACATATTTCGGTCCACGCCTAACAGAATAGTGACAAATGTAACATCTCCTGCTCCTCTAGTGTTTTTTTTTTAAATATCTGATTTGATTGGAAGTGGAAATGTTTGAATGTTAAAAGGGTCAGTACACACAAATGACTTACTTTTTCTCACTTAGCTTTAGTGTTATCAACTAGGGCAAATTTTATTTGTCCAAGTTTTGAGATATCTGACTCTGAGATTCCTGTGTCCACAGCCAACACAATAGAGGTGAAGGGAACTTTATTTGTGGTCCTCACAGCATTTAAACATGATATCTAAACATTTTAACAGCAACCTTCTCTCCAGAAACGGTGTCCACATTACTCTGAATAATCCATAGACCTCGCTCTGAACTTTTTTCATGTCTTCAGTAGATTGTAGTTGCAATGAAAAGTGTCAGAAAGGTCTGTGGATTATCCAAAGTTACTGTGACGAAGAGTAATCTTTCAGTGCGGAGAGCATCACAAACAGAATTCCATTCACTTCCATTGTGTTGTCTGTGGAGGCAGGAATCTCAGAGACAGATGTCAAAATTTGGCTTAAATTACAGTTTAAGCTATCTGTATGGCTGATACAACTGGAGCCAGGTGGGAAAAGCTACATTTATGTATTTTAGGTGGAATGACCTTTGAAATGTCAGACTAACCGAGTCACATGCAAGTTATCAATAACTTTGTTCATATTCTGTCAGCTTATCTTTGATTCATAACCAAATTCATAAGTCTAGCATCTTCACTGGTAACAACAAATTGGACTTTGTGTCCCTGTAACCTTGTCAACATTCTTCAAGGGAATGAATCAGTATATATAAAAAAAAGAGAAAACAAAAGTAGAAAAACACTGGGCTGAAATCCTGTTGTCCACTCAGAGGAATGGAACAAATAACACTGAATTCCAAAGAGTTGCTGACATGTTTACTCTTTCACTGATTTGTAGCTCTTCTTCATCGTTAAACTTCAGTCTCTCCACCTCCGCCCTGCGTCCCGGCTCAGTTCCGTGTCTCTAACTGTGCTCGTGATGTGTTTCATTATAGTCCATGATCTTTAGCTGCTGCTGCCGGGGGCGCCCCGACACTGCGTGACCCCGCCCTCCACCTGGCCCCACCGCTGCCTTCCTGCGGGGGCTTTCCTGGCTGGAGGCCCGTTGCTTGGGCTCAGAGGGGGGCTCCTTGGTGGGCACAGTGAGCGGAGCGGCTGGGGCAAGGGCAGGGGCTGGGACGGGGGGCGGGGTCGGGATGAGGCAAGGTACAGGGCAGACTGGGGCTATATAACCTGGGCAGGGCGGCTCCACGCACAGCTCAGTCTTCAGGTCGTGGGCGAGGCCGGCCAGGCGTGGCGGCGGTTGCTCCTCGTCACACTGGCTCTCGCTTTTGTTGCGGAACAGCTCGCGCGCCCTCATGCCCAGGAAGCTCTTGGCGCTGGGGTAGGAGCCCACGGTCAGCGGCGCGTCAGAGGGGGGCTGGGGTGCCAGCGAGTTGGCGTGGGGACAGGACAGGGAGGGCTCCACCAGCAGGGGCGGGGCCAGGTCCTGGCTGCCGTTGATGGAGTTGGCTGTTGTCTTGGAAGAGTTGCTCGCCTTTGGTTGCCCTGGCGATAAAGTGCTGCCGTTGCCCCGAGGGGAGTCGTGTGGTGGTCTAATGTCTGCCTCCTCACTGCTGTGAGTTTTACTTGGTCCATCTGGCACCATGACACTGAGGAGGACAAAATATTGACGTGTAAAGAAAACAAACTCAAGTACCAGGACATGTATAACATATAAGATCAGATCAGAGGGTACCATAATGTTTACAGACACATGCATTAATTACATTTAGTCATACAGAAACTGCCAGAGCTATAGTTTTATCAGGTGTTTCATTCTGCATTTCTATTATGTTGTATAAAAATATCAGTTATGACACCTGAAGCAGAATGATGACAGCACTGCTATTATTAATCAATTATAATGAGCTTTTGTTGTTGTTGTTTTTTTTTTTTTTTTTTTTTTTTTTTTTTTTAAATTGCACACAGTAATAATAATCATTTTACATTTGGGGGCCTCTAAAGTAATACAAATTAAACAATCACAGGTGATCTGCTTGAAACTTAGACATACAATAATCAAAACTAAAACACTGGTCACTTTAAATTGTGACAAACCAAAAAGGTTGAGTTCAACAGTGTAACACAACAATTTGCAAACTGTACAATCTAGGAAACAGAACAGATAACACAACAAAAGAAACCAACTGCACTAAAAAAAAAAAAAAAAAAAAAAAGGGAGCTCGGAGTCTGACCTGGAGTCAGCAAGAGTGTGTGGGTCAGCTCTGCCCCCTGGTGGTGAACTGGTGGCAGTGCTGGCAGGAGCCTCCATCTCCACTCTGCTGTAGAGCTGCAGGAGTTCAGTCTGCAGCAGCTGAGTGATTCTCCTCTGAGCTTGATACCTGCTGTCTGAGGCCTGCAGCTCAGCCCTGCAGAGACAGAGACAGAGACAAGACAGGTACAGGGAAAAAGTGGGAGAGAGAATATGAGAACAATTAAAACAGAGTAAAGGGGAACCATGCAGAGAGAAAACATGAGATGTGACAGATACAAAGAGAGAATAAATGAGACAAAGAAAGAAAACACTAATTGAACATACAGGCAGAGACTGGCTTTGTACCTGCCTGTATTAATCCAAACAATACTGTGTGATCTACTTAGACAACTGACTCATGTCCTACTGATTTAGATGCTCCAACGCGAGCTTGTTTTGAGGACTCATGAGGTTCTTACTCACTTTGCTTGACATTTTACATCCTCAAGGAACTTCTTCTGCTCGACGATGAGGTGTTCCTTCTTGGAGAGGTGCGTCTCCAGCTCGGAGACTCTCTGCTGCGCTGCCTCCAGTTTCTGACCCTGAACCAGCAGGTTCTGCCTCAGCGTCTCCACCTCTTTCTCGTAAGACACCCGCAGCATCTGGGCCTCCTGGGTTGAGGGACATTGTGTACAGAGGCGGACAGAACAGGAAGGAACAAGAAACAGTTGAGAGAGTGACAAAGACACATGGTTGGTATATGGGGAATTTTTCAATGTGCTATACTTTTTGTTTTTTATTTGCAGTAAATGCCGTTTTGTACCATTATCTATAGTACTGGTGAATGTAGTCTGACTCAGAGGTCTTTGTGTCTTGTGGTGCATTCAGTGAAGCTTTGGACATCGGACTTGATTATCAAAATTCCCTGAAGCTCAAGGTGATGTCATGGATTTGCTTTCTTTTCTGACCAACACAAATCACAAAGATACTCAGAAGGAACCAGACAATGTTGTGCAAATGGCATTTCTGCTAAAAACAAAACAAACAAACATAAGATAATCAACTGATTATCAAATTTGTTGCTGAATTAATTTTCTGATGCTTTACTAATCGTCTCAGCTCTACATATCAAATTCTTATCTGTGAGTCTGGTAGATTACAGCCAGATGCGAGATGTGAAAAAATGTAATACAAAATATGTGGCTTATGATTGGCTAGTCAATTTTAACATATCTGGACCAGTCAGGCTTTGTTGAGGGTAAAAACACACAATGTGCTCTTTACTTTCAGGTAAGCTCTGTTAACAGAGTTTATGAGCAGGATGTATTTTAGGATAGACTTTAGAATTAATTCATATGCAATTAAAACTACCTTCTGACTACAATGAAGTAAAACTATGACCGTGACAGATGATGTTACATCGAAGCTAAAAACGCATCAGTGGGACAATCTGACTTGACGCCCAACAAACCCAATTAGTGTCCCTTTTTTCACCTCAGTATGTCGTCTCTGCAGTTCTCTGCATCTGTCTCACACACACACTTACACACACTCACACACACTCACACACACTCACACACACTCACACACACACACACACACACACACACACACACACACACACACACACACACACACACACACACACACACACACACACACACACTTCCTTCCAGCATACCTTTGTATTATCGGCGCCTGTGTGGTGTAACTCCTGCATGGACAGCTTATGTGCCTCCCCGAGGAGCAGCAGCTGCTTGTTCAGGAAACTCATCTGCTGCTGGGTGCTCTCACTGTTGCTCAGCTGAAGGACACACGAGACAAACAATGACGATGGAGGGCAAAGCAGCAATTACGCTACAAATCAAACCTGTCCAGAAATATCGGGGAAATACATCAGCGATAAAGCGCAACAGAATTAGCCGTTAACGATCTGGCTGAATACATTGAAGATTCAACGGGCAGCAGCAAATGAGCCGTGCAAATATTTCAGTCTGTACGTCAGTCTAAGGAGCTACTTTTGTCTGAAAATAAATGTTACTTTATGACAGAACTTTACTTTGTGTTACGCTTTACAGCCATTTTATGGGAATAATCTTGAAAAATCAATCCCCAGGCCTTGAATTCACAGAATGTTAACCATACAGTCTGAATATCATAAATAAGGACCTTTAATCAACCGTGTGGATGCAGTCTGATCTGAAATGCCCGGTTTCCTGAATCAGCGGCTCCTTGTTTGTCAGGATTTCAGTTCAGTCTGGGTCAGACGAGGGAAACAGACCTCAGACAAACCCCAGGAGGCAGAAAAACACCCAGACCCCCCGTGTTGCTGACCCAAAAATAGAGAGTGAGAGACACCATCTCCAAGGCAACCCAGCCCTGGGACAGTCTGCAGTCTACAGGGAGGTGGCAGGACGAGGATGGGGGCAACTCCCCAAGTCTGACCCTACTGCCCTGCAAGCCTGCTCGCTGTCCTGCCCAATTCCTCCATTTAGGAAAGCAGGAGAGATTTTCATTCAGATTTGACACTGAATGAGCCTGAAGGGGCAGCGACTAAACAATCCTGCTGATTTAACATAAAGCAGTTAGTCGTTATTAGCAATACGCTGCGTAAATAGTTCCCATATGGGTTTGTTAGTAGGGACGTGTTTCCTTATCTGGAAATAAACACCTGCCCAGACATGGAAGATAAAATGTATTAGACTTTAATCCTTCTTTTTGCCAGCTTTGTTTTGAAAAAAATTTTACTAAAAAGAAATTGTATGCTAATAATATACCAATGATACATCAGCAGCTCATTTAACCGGATTTAGATTTATGCATAAGTATCGAAGGAAATAAAACCCTTTTGGCGCAGTATGTGGCCGTCCACAATCAAAATCTGAGTCAAAACAAGAAAGAACTGGAAATGTCAGGCCAAAAAAAGACAGTCCCAAAAGGTTCTTGTAATGAGAACACTTTTAAAAGCAACATGACTATTATAGCCCCTTTCAGACAGGCACCCTATTAAGTAAATGCGCTGGCAATTTTACATGTTGGCCGGATGTCTGAATAAGAACCCACGTCAGAGACAGCCCACCTTCTATGAGCACAGTAATACATTTGTAGTACCTGGTCTTTTTCCAAAAAAAAACTAATTAAAACTAATACAATGGGAATTCATTTTTCGAAATATTGTTTAAAAAATGCCTTAAATACAGTACAGCATGAGAGAAAATAGGAATTAAGAACAGCAGAACAGGAAGTCGAATTCTTCAATAAATTATGAAACGAATGAGTGAACAGACAGGACATGTATCCCTCCGTTTCCTTTATACCATTACTTGCCCTTACAGCTGTTCTCCAGCAGTGACACCACCCCCTCTGTTAGCCACCTCTGCTCTCCACTGATTTGGGTCTATGCTGCACTTTTATTTCCTGCATTTCATTTTGGGCATCTTCTTACTGCATTGTAATTGCATTCCACTGTATTTCTGACTATTAAGCCAGCCATGTTCCATATCCCATGTCTGCAAGGGGCTTTTATTTATATTCTGTTAGCAGCCCAAAATTGAGAAAATGATGTGTCTCTACCTTAATAGTCATCTGGTTGAGGAGGTGACCAGTGTGGCAGACTTTGTTGTTGGCCCTCTGAAGCTCCGCCTCCAGTTCATCCATCTTTTTCTGACACTCCTGCAGCTTGCTCTGGAGACACAAAACCAGAGTGAAAAGAGTTATACTATATCTGATAATGGTGACTATAGTGGAGAAATATATATGTACTGTATTATCATGATTATATTGTCACTGACATTGTATTGTTTTTGTATAAAACGTGTACAGTGATATACATCGTTTGTCCATCTCAGGATCAGTGCGAGTGTGTGAGTGTACCTGGAGCTCCTGGTTCTTGGTGTAGTAGTCGTCTCGTCCCTGCTGCAGCTGTCTGATCTGACTGTGCAACCTGGTCACCACTGTTTCCCGGTCGTCCCACAGCTGTCTGTACCGCTGCTGCTCCACCTGCAGACTCTCCCTCAAAGACAAGATGTCCACACTCTGCAGATTCAGCTGGTCCTTCTGCACACACAAAGATACATAAGTTGAGTACAACGTGTACAAGAGTTTCTAAATGTTTGTTACAGAAGATAGATGTTTTAAGGCAGTTTGAAGCAGTTTGTGCCATGTTTTTCCTCTCAAATGGTTCAGCTGGTCTTGTGAGAGCAGGGATCACACAGACATTTTCTCCAAAAACCTCAAACACTGTTTCTGTTCTGTTTCAGATTAGCAGAAAATGTATTTTTCTTTCAACTGATTGCTGAAGGAATGTGTCGGTGTTCCACCTCTTTGTTTACATTTCATTCCTGGAGACAAACCAGCCTTCATGGCTTCTTAGTAAGCATCACTTGTTGAAAAGCGATCCGTCTGTCTCAGCTGCAAACAAAACAACTTCAGTTACCTGCTGCAGAGGACACTCGACTGATCTGACAGCTGGAGCTGTGAAACACTACAAATGCCTCAGTGATCAGTTGATATCTCTGGAGAATATAGATGCATTTTCTCACGACACACTGGTTTTTGAGGGATCAAACATGTGAGCCTCCATTTAGAGGGCAGACCTTTAATTGTCCTGTGGTGCTGCATCTCAGTAAATCTACACTTCCCTTCCCTTTGTTTCAAACACTGTTTTTGTCACTTTAAAGTGCTTAAACAGGGCTAATATGTGATAATGAGCACGTGCAAACTCGCCATGGCGTTGTTCTGCTCCTCCAGTGCAGTGGCGTTGATGATGCGTCGGAGGAGGCGGCGGTTGCGGACGGCGTGCTGCTCCCTCTTGTAGCGCTCGTACAGCAGCTGGTTGTGCAGCAGGAGCAGCTGGCTGCGCAGCGTGTGAAGCTCGTCCAGCGGAGCTGAGCCTGGGGAAGCCATGGTAATAATAATGTAATTAACACGGTCACACACCTGACACACATACACACTGCTAGAAATGAGCTTAATTATTATTCAAGTGTGGAACACCAGAATAGCACAGCTCATTTAATGAGAATATAATGGAAAAAATGACAGTGTATAAATACAATGCTGTGATTTTCTCAAGCCAGAAAAGCAGGACAGGATTCTGGTGTTAATTTTCATTTACTGTAAAATATAAGCTTTATGGGTGCCCGGTTAGCTCAGTGGGTAGAGCTGGCGACTCATGTACCAAGGCTGAGTCCTTGCTGCAGCGGCCCAGGGTTCGAATCCGACCTGCGGCCCTTTGCTGCATGTCCCTCTCTCTGTCCCCATTTCCTGTTTATCTTCAGCTGTTTCTATCATAAAGGCAATAAAACCCAAATTTATAAAAATAAAAAAAAAAATAAAAAATATAATATATATATAAGCATGTGTTGAACTTTACAAACAGAAGATTTACTGATCTGTCTCACACAGTGACAAGAAACTACACAGAATACAAAGCATTTAAAAGAGCATGGACCTCTGTTAGCTTTGAATAATCCTTTATATGTGGTTAAATGTTTTTTAAAAATAATTTAATCTGGATCATCACAACAAACAGTGACAATCATGTGATACATTTGCCAGATATTTTTCCTTAAGGTTATGGCGATCATTACATTTACATTAAATTCACAATTTTAAGAAAACATTAAAATCTTCAGTGAAGTTTTTGCACAAAGAGTAACACCAAAAACTACTGTTAACAGAGGCCTTGGCATCAATGTGAAATGTGACTGTAGCACCAAATATCAAAAATAAATATCAAGTACCAAAAGTTGGCACTGAACATCTGGTCAGATTAATCGTCTTGTTTATTTATTCTTTGCTCATATACTTTGTGATATCATTTAAACATTGCTTAACATTTAACTTTTGAGAACTTCAGCTTCTATTATTAAATGAAAAAAGGTTTTAAAGGAATTCGATATTGTTTGGTATCTGTGAAAGAACATTTCCAAACAACATACAGCTCTACCAAAACGCTGAAATTAAATGAAGTGAGAACAAGTGACCTGCAGTGTGCTGGACTCCTGATTCCTTCTCAGTTCAAAGGAATCATTTCATAAGAATGCTGGGTCTGCGCCTAAAACTAATCACTTGTTCCTTGGCTCATGGCCCCCCAAATTTCATTGAAATCTGCCCTATTTAAGAGATATTTTGGTGACTAAAAAACAAACGCCCTCCTTGGTAGAAGCAACAAGCGGAGCTGTCTGTTGGCTATTCGGCAGCTTGACTGCTTGATATCCTGATGGCAGTTATTTCAAGGGTCACCAAATTATTGATCAACATGCATGTGGCAAGATTTTAGTCTTTTGATTTGAACCTACAACCTGATGGTAGCAACCCTGCTTGGCTGACTTTAAGACTGCTGTTACCCAGTTAATCACATGATAAAGATAGTTAAAATGTGAAAAATGTAGTGCTCCTCAATCCCTACAAATGGCCAACATAACTCTGGATACAGAGCTTCACTTGTTTACATGTACAAAGAGGGGAGAGAGCAGGGATGGAACATGTAGAGAATAATTCTCTTGAGAATTTGATCCAAGACCTTAACAGTCCTCCAGAAAGTTTATGTCAGTCGGCTACAGGCGCTGAGTGAAGATTTGTTTTAGATGCGATCAACATTACATGACTCCTATCAGTCAACCAGGAGAGATGACCAAATTCCAGAGTTGTAGTTACAAGTTTGGCAGAGAGAAAGTGTGTCCTTGTTGTTGTGAGCTGCTGGAGAAAATTTGATTCTTGCTCTGGGTTGACTGGGTGCATACAGGATGGTAAATAAAGGCTGAAGAAGCCCCCCCCAAAAAAATGGCCAACATTTTGAATCAGAGTCCTGCATGACTGTGGGAAGTTTGTGTGTTTTGATAAATCTCAGTAGAACAAATTCCATGTCTAGCTGGGTAACATTTTAACATGCTGTTCATGTCTCAGAGCTTGTGACGAATCACTAGTCATGCCTAAATAACGCTCCATCTGCAGCCTTTATAATAGCTGCTTTCATCAGTGTTCGACAGCGTTGTGGTGTTTTACCTCCAAAGTGCGTCCAGTCAGCTGACTTACTTGGCAAAGGTAATCTGTAAAAGGAGAGAATGAGAAAACCGTTTTATAAGAACAATCTCTGATGTTTTCTCTATACATTATCTCTATTAAGCTGCTCTTAGACAATTCATGCCAGTGAAGATGTTAATGATATGATCATTTTTAGTAAAGAAATAAACAGTATATAACAGTATAGTTATATATGTTTTAGAAAGGCAACAGTTTGTGGTATTGGAAATGGGGAAACATTTTAAATTTTGTGTATTACTGTGTCTGTAGCCACATTTCATTGATGTTAGTTGTAGTCTAAAACATAAACTATATCCCTATTTCCCACCACTGCTGCAAGAAATTCAAAAACAAACAATTACCAAGGCCAGCCATAGACAGCACAGACTGAGCTATATTACATGGGTGAAAGATGGAAAGCACAGGTTAGCACACAAGATTCTATGGTGATACGGTCTGCATATGTTACAATCTAATGTCTGTAGTTATGTATACAAAGCCAGGAGACTGTTAGCATAAAGCGGGAAACAGCCAGCCTAGCTCTGTCCACAGGTAACAAAATCTGCTTTTCAGAACCTTTAAAGCTCACCAATTATCACATAATGGATATATTAAAAAACTAAGTGTAAAAGAAAACTCTGGTTTACCAGCGGGTTATGTGCTGGAGCTATTTCTTAACATATTTCCCCAAATGCCCAATTTATAATACTCAAAGGACCAGTGTGTAGGATTTAGTGGCATCGAGTAGTCGAGTAGTAGAGTTGCAGATTGCAACCAACTACAGTGGCCACAAATATTGTGAAACCGAGTGCCAGTGTTTGGTTGATCTGTCCTGGGCTACTATTGAAACATGGCAGTTCAACATGGCGGACTCTGTAGAACAGGACCCGCTCCCTCTGTGGATAAAAACAGCTCATGCTAAGGTAACAAAAACACAAACACGGAAATTAAAACATACAACTTAATATTATATTACATTTCTGCCAATAAATCCTCCTAAAATGTTACACACTGGACCTTTAAAGAAATTGAGAGGTATTAATTTAAACAGAAGTAAAACTTTTTACTATATTTACTTCAGTAGATGTGGTAATGTATTCATAGTGCTGTTATAGTTATGTCACACTAATGTTGTTTTTACTTCATTTTTATTACAAAATTTGACCACACTAATAATTTGCCCTATTGGTTATTTGCCTGAGCCGTACTTTGGTCTCTGTTTCCGCTGATTTTGTCCCCTCCATCAGGCCGTGTTTGGCTTTGATGGAGACAGTAAAATATGGAGGTGATGGGCAAATGAAGTGAGCAAAGCCAGATTGTTCTGGGCCCAGTGCTGACTTTGCTGACACTGTCTCTGCTGTTGCATTATTGGCTCAGAGGACCGGCTCACTGTGTGTGTTTGCGTGTGTGTGTGTGGAGAAAGAAAGGGGGCGGCGGATTCTGAACAATGTCATACTTGTTCTCAACTGGGTGTTTCCTTTCGGCTGCAGTAATAGACTGGAAACTACCCAGGCAGGCTCTGCACAGTGAACAGCACATCAAAACACACTCCTGAGTTTCCTCAGTATGATCAACATCACGAGTTTGACACTGACAACAAACTGACAGAACTGGAGAGCACTCGGAGACTCGGAGAGCACTCGGAGAGCAAATACCTCCCCCACAGCTGCACAGTCCTCTACAGGTCTTCATTTATTAACAGAAAACATTCATGTATATCTGCTTCCTTACCTCTTGAGCACTTTATCATGGGTGTCGCTCCCCTGCTGAACAAGGCGATCCAGCACCTCCAGTGGTGAAGCAGACACTACCCCTTCCTCCTCCCCGTCCTCCAACCCTTCCTCCCACTGCGACAACCTCTCCATCGCTGCCTTGTGCACCGCCTCCGACGTCTTCTGGCCCACGAAGAGTGAGGCCGCCCTGGGCAGGGCCAGGTCGAAGAATGACTCATAGGGCACCGGGGCCGGGGTCTTGCTGCACGGGCTCGGGGAGAACATCCCAAACTTGCCCAACTCATCGTCCGGGGCAGAGGGGCTCCGGTGCAGGTGATGATCGATGGGGGTGAAACCTGACTGGAAGGACCAGGACTGCTCGAGGCCGAGGGCTGAACTCCTGCTGTCTCCTCCCGCTCCTCCTCCTTTTTCACTCCCAACGCCACTGGTACTCGCAGTGTTCTCAGCTTTGTCTGGCGTCGATACGACATGGTGGGTGTCCCGAATGGGGCCTCCAAGCTGGGCGTCGGAGAGGGTCTTGTCTTGTGCCTGGCAGCCAGTCAGAGTCTCGGTAGTGTGATAGAATGGGGAGTCGAAGCCCCTCAGGCCCGACAACTCCTGCTTATCTTCAGTGATCTTCAGCAGCTCCTCTGTGATGGCAGCTGCAGCAGGAACAACATATGGAAGAGAATGCAGTTAAACCTGGATGTAATGTTCTGAATGTCAATGTCTGCACATAAATATTTCTGCAGTCACAACAAGTGCCAAGTACCTGCTATCCCACACAGAAAACCTAAAGTTTCCAGGACTTCTGTTTTTCCCCAAAGAGGAATTTAAGCAGCTAGCTTTAACAGCAGAGCTCGTGCCATTTGGCAGACGCTCTTATTCAAAGTGTTTCACAGTACTGAAGGTGCATTTATTTTTAGTACAAGTGGCTCGAGTGGGATTTAAACCAATAACTGTGCAGAGCCAGCTGAACACACAGGGATATAAACAGGGATGTGTTAGCATCCTGAATATTTAGTCAAAGTCCATGAGCTCAGGCTCATTTAGCTTAACAGGAGAGTGAATTCACTTATTTAAAGTTGCGATCCAATTCAAAATTCTCCATAAAACGGGTCTCACGGGTATCTGTATACCTTTGGCTGTATTTGCATTGTATGGAGTCAGCTAAACATTCATCTGTGTAGAGTCTAAATACACTTTCTCTGCCTTCTTTAGTGTGTTTTTACAGTGTCTGTATAACTGTATTTAATGTATGTAATTTCCTATGTTGTATTTATTAATTATCTGCCATCTTCTTTATGAAAAAATATATTGTTGTTTATACTGAAACTGGTACATGCTCCGGATGAGCATACCTCATGTCTGGTCTAGTCATATTGTGGTTTGGTTGTTAAAACACACAAAAAAAACCCACACTTGTACACATGTACTTGTCAAGACTGCATTGTTTGTTTTTGGTGGATTCTCTTTTCTTGAAGAAAATACCCACAACTGGCCAGTTTTCCATGCTGAGTCATATACCACCTGGATCTAGTTCTATGATCTATACCAAGAAGTCGATACTCACCCTCTTCCCTCTCTTTCTCTGTTCTCAGCTGAAGCTCCAGCTCCTGTTTCTTCATGAAGACCGACAGCTCTGTCAAAGTCATGGAGACATTCTCAGCAGCTCCTGCATCTGATGAGGAAATGCGTGCATCACTGTGGGTGTGATGTCAGAAACATAACATCTCCAAAAAGACACAACATCAAAACGACTAATAACAAAGATTAGGACTGATCAACCAATTTATTCAACATTTGGCATCACGAATAGAAGCCGGGCCAAGTTAAAATGACATTAATTCTAACTGAGTCTGTATGTAAACATGTTAAACACCTGAGATCAAAGTGGACTCCCTGGCAGCTCTGATCACGTGGTACATCATAATCATCACAGGAAAATGTGTTTTTAGAGGCAAACAGAGTGTGTGAGCTGTGAAGTGCAATAAAGATTACAGTAATTTCTGCCCTTTTTAACCACGGCTGGGATTTAACTGCTGCTCATGATGCTGCTGCCAGTGTCGGTGTTCTCTCTGGATCAAAGATTAACTGTGGTTTACCACAAATCTCATCCAAAATTAAGAACCTGTGAGGATCTTTACTTTAATTAATGATGATAAATCATAGTAATGAGGCCCATCACGACTAACCTCTGTTTGTGGCTACTTCTGCACTCTTCTCTGTATCTTTTACTTGTTCCTGTCTCACCAGGGCCGGCTTGCTGCTTTCTCCTTGTCGACGATCCTGGAAAAAAAATCACAAAGAAATCAGTAGTTTGCTCCAATCCTCATTTTTACACATTTATTTCACAAGATCACTGGGATGACCGACACATACAGGCAAAGTCCATTATGATCCTTACATTTATATACCAGAATAAGAACCAAACACATCACACTTCTGCTGAGAACCAATAATATGACTATAATAATAACTCTTTTCTTCTGTTGCTTTACTTCTGAGTGCACAATTACATAATTAAACCACATTTGATGAATTAATTTGCCTCCTGCTGTTGAGGAAATTAGTTTTCAAGATGAAAAGAAAGTTAGATAATAATAATAATAATTTGAACTGACTGGCATATTTGTCATTTTTTTGGCAGTACCTAATTAGGCATCATTCAAGAAACCAGATCTTGAACAATTAAGATCAGTCATGAAATTCAGAAAAACAGCATTCTGGTGATGAATCATCACAATACACCCATTGGACTTTTGAAATTCTGTCATGCTGAAACAATAACTGAAAAAGCCTGTTTGGGGATTTTTGTCTTTTAATGAAAATATAAATGCACAAATAGAAAATTGCCCACAAAGAACTCACTGAAAGGGGAAGAAACAAGGACTGTTCTAGGGACACATTTTTAAAATGGAGGGGAGAGAGCATACCTTTCTTGGTGGACTGGACTGGACTGTGTTGGCTGGTAAGGAGATTATGGGGAAGTCATCTGATAGGGTGGGAGGTGGGGAAGAGGTGGCTGGAGTGCTGGAGGCAGGAGTTCCTTTTCCTCCTGCTCGGGTCAAAACAATCAGCAGTCAGCAGAAAAGAAAATTCCAGAGCGTCACTCAGTTAAAAACATTAAAAAAATACAACAATACACCGACAGCCAAGTCTAAATCTATTGTAATCGTGGAAGTGTTGACCTGATGTGCAGTGGAAGCGGCTGGGAAGGTGTGAGGCACTGTGGGAGAGCTCCAAGTTGGGCGACATGCCCCTGGAGGAGGGGGGCGTGGCCATGCCACACAACGAGGAGGGGCTCCACAGAGGGTCCTTCCCCCCACAGGAAGAGTTGAGTTCACAGGTGGAGTTCTGCAGAGAAATAGAGCAAACAGCAAAATGATCACAGATCAGATCATAGTTTGCTACATTTGCAATGCAATATGAAATTACAGCCAGGAGCTAGTTATCTTAACTCAGCATAAGGACTGAAAACAGCTAGTGTAGCTCTGTCCAAAGGTAACTAAATCCACCTGCCAGCACCTCTAAAGCTCACTTATTACCCACTGTAAAACCACAAGCTTTCGTTTTTACACTTTGGTTTAAATACAGATGAATAAAATGACATATAACATGTTAATTTGCTAGGCTCCCTGTTTGGCCCTGGTTCTAGCCTTTATGCTGAGCTAAGCTGCTCCTGGCTGTAATTTCATATAGAACGGTCACATTTCTGCTCGTGAAAATAGTTCTGGTTTTATGTGCCAAAGTTCTGAGATAATTGCCTGAATCTGAATCTTTTACCCCTGAAACATTTACCCCAACACAGTGGAGGTAAATGGAATTTTGATCGTACTGTGCAAGACTACCACTACATCTACTCAATCCACAGATGAACTGCCCCGTAAAGAAAGGATGTGTCCAGGGAGTTTGTGGCACATTGTAAATTTTGCTTCAAGTTGTTAAAGACACATTCCCTGATTGTTATAATGATCAAGGTAATGTCTTGACAATCTAAAAATCTTAAATCTCACAATAATGAATGCACCTCAGAGAGGCAGAAGGATTTGTCTCCCATGTTTTTCTGATTTTTTGTCTGTCTGGGTCAGAGGGAGTGTAATGTAAGAGACAAATCCTCAGACAGACCCCAGGGGGCAGAAAAACACCCAGACCCCTCCCTCGTGAGGCTGGCCCAATAATAGAAAGGGAGAGATGGTATTTCCATGGCTACCAGCTCTAGGGAGGGTCTACACAGAGGTGGCAGGGTGAGGAGGTGGGGGCATGTGATGTAATTCCTAAAGCTCGACCCGACTGTCTGCCAGCCTGACGACTCAGAAATGCTGCTCTGATTGAGGGCGTGATTTTTGGAAGAAAGCAATCAACTCACTGCATGTGACAGGTGATATATCGAGTGTAAACATGGCGGCGTGTACAACAGCTAGCATGACAAACAGAAACTTAACGATGTAGTGCTCTGGTGTTACCCTCTGATCAGCTACGGACCAATCGCAAGTCCTAAACCAAGACTTTGACAGGTTTTGACCGTGTTATGGATGATCTTACCTGCCGTCTGGAGGTCTGTGGGCTGCGGTAAGAGGGCTGTGTCCCTGAGAAGGGGGGCAAGGACAGGGGCGGGGGTAGCGGCTGCCGTGGAGTCGAGAATGGGGTCGAAGAAGAGCTTCCTGTTGTCAAGAAGATATACAGTCTGATCAATCTTCAAACGGATGCGCCTAACAACATGCACTCTTTTCTGCTCTTTATGACACCACAGTTTGGTGTTTGTCCTTTAAACCGGTTAGAAAGCACAAAGTGTAACACCACAAATACAAGTGTCTCACTGAAAATAAGAAGTAATAACACTGTAGATTTTTTTTAAATATCTTGTTTTGTCCCCAACATATTACATTTACATTTGAGAGGCTAAAAGCAGCAATTAATCAATTATAAGCATTTTATGTCAATCAAGTAAATTCCTGATCCAGCATTACTCATTCCTGATTCCTAATCACTCCTTTGCCAAATTCTGTTGTGTCTATTGACAAGTCAGTAGAGGTGCTGATGTCAAACAAAAAATTTAAAAAAAACATCCATAAATCATAGTGACTGGGATTGAAATACAAAGTAAAATGAAAACAGATCCTTTCTGAGAAAGTAAACATGAAAAGAGATAAGCAGCATCAAACGAATTTAAGAGAATGAAAACTTTTACCAGCGCAATCTGGCTTCCACTAATACTTTATAGGCCACTGTAGTATATACTTTTAGTGGCACAATAAATGTGTACAACCAGCACTTACAGTTAATAATACTATAGGGATGATTTTTTTTTTCTTTGCAATGTGTAACATACTATCACTAAATTCACTTTTTACAGAAAGATGCTCTCAAATGGTTTATTCATTCAACATGGACAGTCAGATAACAGCACACATAATATCCCTGGGGGTTTTAGGTCAAAATCAATGCAGAACTACTTTTTGGGTATAATGGATTTTTGCAGTGGGTATTTAGGTTGCAGGATTAGCCATAAACATGCATTGCCATCAGGTTATATTATACATAAAATGTTTCTAATTTTCCAGAAAATGTGTAAATGTGTAAATCATTAAAGATACTGATATTCTGATATAAATATTACATATACCATATTAAGGATTTAATACATATTATCCAGTCCTACTGTATACTTTCACAGGTAAGAACTCTCACTAGATGTCAGATACTGATTGACAAGCTGTGTAAAGTCCAGCAGAAAATATAAAAAACCTACATACTAATAACTTTAACTCTATCCAAACCTGAGCTTTCAGTTTTGATGGTATGTGACATTCTACATCATAAAAGAAGCCCATCCTGTATAATGATTATGGCCGCAAACTGATGTTGCTGCTGATTGAGACTTCCTGTCTTAACATTGCATGTCTAATGACTGCTGCTGTTTTCCTGTTGCGCATCGTGTTAAGGAAAGAGTTGACTGATAAAAACAGCAACCTACAACTTTGTTATTACTAATTAATTGTAAGGCAGTGTGAATCTTAGAGCCTGACTGATACGTGGACATGTCCAATATCATCAGCCAATTTTAGATTAACACAGATATTAAATATATAGTAGAAACAGAAACCATGTAATTGTCCATAAGAGAGAAATAACAAGTTAATTTGTCGACAAAAGGTTATACTGTTCAGACTCTATTGAGTTTCATATGGAGTGTTTTCTGACCGTAGCTGCTGTGGAGGTCTGTGTAGGGGCTGGAAGTGCAGTCTTGTGGTCGCAAGTGGACTTGGGGGTAAAAGTTCTCAGGCATGGTGGCATAGCCCTCCTCACACGACGCCTCCTTGGGGTCTAGAGACACTTTGGCACATTCGATGACGATATCATGGATTTCATACTTTTTCCACCTATAGCAAAGCATAGCACCATTAGTAGTAGTAGTAGTAGTAGTAGTAGTAATAGTAATACGAGATGCAGTAGACTAGTAGATTAAACACTGAACTGTTCTTTTTGCTAAGCAGGGTGGTATGGGACCTACCTGGTGGGGTCAAGCTCATGGTCCTTGGTTCCTGTCACCAGTTCTGGGTGAATACGAACGTGTTCAAGCATCGGCTGAAAGGGGGGTTGAACACAAAATGTATATTAGTAATCATTTGCCTCCAAAAGCTCTAACAAAGAGCAACAAAGCACAGCAGCAGCAGAGACTGTATCCTCACCTTCACTACTTCCTCAAAAGTTTCCATGTTCTCCTTCATGCTGTAATGGGAGCGCAGGTAGGACACAAAGTTGCACGGGTACATGCCGTAGAGGCGGTGGAAGAGTGAGTAGACGCTGGCGTGCAGGTGGATTAGGTAAACCTCGGAAACATGCCCTGAACGAGTAAAAAAGTATCAAAGGGGAAACAAGCACAAACTTGAACCCCAGACTAACAAATACAACTTAAAGAGTGAGATAACTGGCAAACTGAATTACTGTTTTGAATTGTATTTGTCCACCCAGACTTCCTCCCCTTTGACCAAATTTGGATTTTCGCGCTCCAGTTAACTGCCTAGATGGCAGCGAGTGCAAGCATCCTATCAGAAGCCTATGAGCGGTTGATTCTTTAACAGATGAGATTTAAATAACACAGTAAATACAATATTTAGGTTTCCAAAAAAGGAGGCTGTTTTAAAGGGTTGGGCAATATCTCTCACAGTATAAAACAGGAATATTTTCTTTTGAATATCATTAAATGGCAAATGGTAATGCTTTGCTAGATATACAAACATGCATGTTGCACACACTTTTTGTGAGGCCTGACAGGAAGCTCCTACCAGGATTCTTAAGGTTCCAAGATGCCAGACGGCCAAAGATGTCAAAGTACTCCCACAGATGTTGTTTCCCAGCTTGAGGGATCATGGGTAGCAGAGTGATCAGCACCAGGACTCCAGTTATCAGCACCACTACGTCGGTATCCGTCTGCCACGAGACAAAAATATTTAAAGTGAAAAAAATGTATAAAGTCAGAGATTAATAATAATGCCTTTCTTGGTGTTTCTAAATATGTCATTATGATGAGCAACATTTTAACAAAACACGTATTTACTTTAACCAGTATCTGTGGTGTGTGTGGAACTGAAAGTAAGTTGAAATAAGAAATTGTATATGGCTGCAACAAAAAGTCAAGTCCATTTTATTTATGTAGCCCAACATCACACATCACAAATGTTCCTAATGTGGCACCCTCTATCCTTAGACCCTCTATCCTTAGACCCTCAATTCAGATAAGTATAACCTCCCCAAAAATATAGGAAGAAACATCAGGAAAACCAACAGAGCAGGGATCCCAACACATATTGTGTGTGCAGAATAGACCAACATAGTAATATTATGGATAACAAAATTACAGAGACATACTTAGGCACAGCAGTGCTTTGAGCTAAATGCTAACATCAGAAAGCTAACATACTCACATCGGCACTGCTAAAATGCTAATGTTTAGCTGGAAAAATTTGTACCATTTTCACCATCTCAGTGTAGTGTGTTACATTCTACACCTGCTTATTATCACCACACACACACACCGTACAGCTGAGGCTGATTGTAATGTCTTTATTGTCTTTTATTTAGTTATAAACCAAAGTGATGGTGATGATGGTGCTAGATGAAAAGTCAGTTGTTAGAATTCCACCTGAGGGGACCACAGCAGTGGACCGACAGACCACCTTTGCCATCTCCAGTGCCCCGCTGCTTGCGTGGCTAAAAACTTAATCTAATCGAGTTCAATCAACAAATATTTAAGCAGCAACAGTCTGAGTAGACAAACATGCAGTGTTTCTCCAAGGAGCACTGACTGACAAAGCTAATCAATAACATACCACATAAAACCTACAAGGAATCGGTTGTTTCAGTTCAACAACACATTCTCAGTGATGGCTGGTATTAAATCTTGTGTAAAAACTACTTCTACACAAGTTTTACAAGGATCAGTGCAGATTAAATAAATCCAAACTAAGATTTACTGAAGTAGCTGTTAAATTACTTGCCTGCTGCTTGATGTAATGCCAAAACCTCGCAAGATATTAACACATTATAAAATATGTTTTTGAGGAGAGAGAGTCAGAGAGAATCAATTCTAAAAGCAGCTGAATGAGAACTTTCCACAAAACTCTCAATGCCTTGACAAGGAGATTTTTTTGTTCACTGAGTCAAACCATAACTGGTTAGTTACCTTTAGGCATTTGAGCAGCGAGAGCAGCAGAGGGTATCGGGCAATCTTGTGGATCCAGGACGGCTGCTTGCGGATTACATGGCCGAGCAGGGTGAGGGTGGGCAGCCGACAGGTCTGTTTGGTCATACACTCGTTCATCTTGTCCAGAAGGTGCTGTGAGGGAGGGAGAGTGAGGTTAGCTCTGTGTTTAACACTATGAGGGAGCTGGAGTTTTTCCTCTTAGGAAGGAAACTTTATTTAGAATTCTGTTTTTTTTTTTTTTTTTTTTTTACATATCTATATATACAGTGGATATATAGATATGGTGTGTTGTGTCAATTAGGGCTGCAAGATATGGTGAAAACATCATATTCCGATAATTTTGACAGATACTGCAATTGACATATGATTTGCAATTAGTGTGTGAAAGATAATTTTTACATCATATATTTAACTGATGTCATTTGATATTTTCTTAAACTGTGGAACAAGATTTGTAGGCCATGGGAATCTCTTCAGAATTTATATACTTTATTATAATGCTGTTTTGGATATTGCGATTAATTGTGCAGCCCTAGTGCGGAGCAAATAGCAAATGATGGCTACAAATCACCAGCTGAAATAAATCATTTGGGGCCCGTCCGCCACCAAGACAAGCACAAACTAACAAGTTCGCTAACTGACTGCTGGCAATCTGTGACAAAGTTTATTTCTATGTGAAACAGGGTAGAGACACATATACCTGCTTTTAACTACGCATTCTCATGGTTGTGCAAAGATTTTCTGTTTTAAAACCAGGAGTAATCTGGGTTTAAGCTTGCGGAGCAGGGTTTCTCACCTTATCGTGTGGCTCTCTGACTGAGGAGAGGATATGCATGGCCTGGGCAGAGTTTGTTTCCAAAAAGTAGTCCACCAGCCCGTTCAGCAGCATGGACCCTCGCTCTTCAAGGAAAACAGGAAGGATCATTTGAATTAATTTTTGAAAAAAAGGATTAGAAGGCATACTGAATTAGGAAATGTCACCAATGTTGGAGCTATGCTTAAAAAAAGAACGTTTCATAAGACAAAAGGACAATAATAATGCCATCTGGTGTGATCTTGACACTAAAACACTAAAAGTATCAGTTAAGTTACAATTTCTTAAATCTCCCTAGAAAAAGCTGAACACAGATATATAAACCATGTTGACGTTAAACAAGCGGAGTGACCCTACCGGTGCTGAGCTGCTCGTTGATGAGGCCTCTGATCTCTTCTAGCTGGTGGAGGTCGGAGGTCTCCAGGAGTGGGAGGAGGTCCCCCACGTTGGGCTGCTCCCTGGCCATGGTGGTGGCAATGCTGGGGGTGGAGGCAGCGTCTCTCTCACGGTGTCCGTCCCTGCCTGCCTGGAGGACTCCTGGGGCCACCCACCAATACAGTCTCCAGGCACCTCTACATCGCAGCAAGACCAATTCATACACATTTCCCAGAATTAGAGCTCTGATCTAGGATTAGTGGTCACGTGACAATACCAACTCAGTACTGGGAAGCAGGGTTTGTGTTAAGGGCATTTCTTTAACATGGAAAAGATGTCCTTAAAAGGGGTAACTGGTTCTTCGTCAAATGTACTCAGACATAAAGAATAATGGCTCTAAATAATCAAATTAATTCAGTTTCTTTGTGATATAATGGCTTTTCGATGTCGTCATTTCAGAGGGATGTGGCCACAGTTCCCATGAGGTCATCGCATTAGAAGACTAATGTCACAGACACGATGTCCCTAATTTTCAGCAGTTTATGATTGTAATTAGAGCTGGGCAATAAATCCATTACAGATTATGATTTTCTGTTTTAAAACGATTCACAGAACGGCTGAATCATAAAATTGAGATTTAAACTCTGTAGATTTAAACTGTGGCAACATACAGCTAATAAGGACTATGTAGAACAAGCCCCAGTCCACTCAAGTTAGTGGTCTACACTGTGAACAATAATTTTCCATAGTATCCCATATGAGAGGAAGGGGCCCCGGTGATAAAACATTACAGATGTGGTGGTGTTTCAAATCGCCAAAGATATGGTGTAGCTTGTAGATTAAGATCGTGAATATCATAGTGGTAACACCCTAGTTTTGCTATAAAGACTTGCAAATTCTGTGAAATGAATTCCCAAAAAGGCTTCAGTCAGTCAGTTAATTTAATTACCACATTTGCTTCGAGCCAAGCCCTTAACCCCCGGCTGCTCTAGTGGAGATGCTCAGTGGTCAGCCGATAAGACTGTGGATGTACTGGGCAACTTCCAGGTGTTAATGTGTCAAAGTGTGTGAGTGTGAACAGGGTGTCAGTGAATAAAAGAGCACTGGCTGTGTGTGTCTGCCGTTACTGGGCAGGTAGCGTACAGTGAGTTGAGAAGAGAATTTTGTTAACATTGTGAAATGGGTGAATTTGTAACGCCGTTGTCTATGGCAAAATTAACTTAACTCATTGTGCATGTGAAGGCCCATCGTAATTAAAGTGAATGGTGTGCCACTTCAAACGTCACAATATTTTTTTTTTCGTAGGATCATGACTACTCACAAAAATTGTTTATAGCTCCTTTCAAGAAATAATACATAACTTTGAAATACCACTGAAAACAATAACTGCAAGCTGAGTGCTGTAATGGGGTTAACTGGCACACGTAACAAAGATTAGTGTGCTTACTAATTGAAAGGACATACCTATATGATTAATCATTTAAAATAAGCCCAGCATCCAACAGCAGTTAGAAAAAGTTGGTGACTAGTTGGTGAACATACCACAGGATTTACCTGCTAAAGAGCCAAATATTTCCCTCAGGAGCTAACGGACTAACACTAAGGGGACAGTTAATGTTGGACTTACACCGGCTGGGCACAAACAGTCCTCCAAATAAATTTTAATGCTGCCGTGTATCTGCTGGATGTGTTATGTTTGCTAACACATAACCTCCATCATTTTTATAAGGTGTTGATGATATTTGAATGTTTACAGCTTGCTGTGCAACCCCTAACTTTTGGTTAAACCTGGGCAAATTCAAGCTTTAACGTGGAGTTTTTAACCTCTACTAGCACTATGGAGAAGTTTTTAAGGTGAGTGGTTCCTCGTTTTGTTTGTCTTGTGCACACTCATAAGGAGCACAAGCACGCGTGCGCAGGTGACTCGATACACATTCTTGCCAAAGCTTTCACACTGTTCCACTGAAAAGGTGGCATTAACAAGCCAAGATATACAGAAATGTGCCAACCATTACAGACAGTATATATAATGGACAGAGCTTCCAGGTCTGTTAAGTAAAGCTAGTAAAGCAGAAGTGTCTTAAACCTGCATTCTATGTAATAGCCAGCAGGGGACCGATCCATTGGCTGCCATAACACACCAAAACCATACAGTCTCTTGGAGAAATGACCCAACTTCTCACTTGATTTATTAGCTCAGTAAACAGATTCTTAATGAGTTTATGGTCTCAATCGCTAGTTTCAAGTCGCTGCCTTTAATATGCTAGAATGAAATAAGCTCAATGAGTCATGTTGAAACTAGAGGTGGGCGATATATATCATTTGCGATAATATCGTCATTGTTGTTTTGACGATGTGCAAATTTCCATTATCGAGTATTTCAATTACTTCGCTAAAAAGACTCCTCACATCCACTTAATAAACGGTGCAGCGACGCTCTCTACAGCATGGCAGGATTCAGTCACACGACTAGTGGGCCTACGTGATCACATGACATGATCACATGACCTCTCGCTAGCATCCTCCTTGCAACAGTTTAGCAGCGCGTTGTGATGGTAGAGAGAAAATGCAAGCACCTCCAGTCCCTGAAGCTACCGGTACTACAGATGATTTAGTGCCGAGACGTGGGTCTACCTCTCTGGCATGGAAATGGTTTAGTTTCGAAAATAACTTTTTTAGCGCAGAGCTCAGAGCGCTTCAAGTTGAAATCTGTTCCACTTTTAACACCACTGGCCTCTCAGCGCTAATAACGCGTTTGGTGGACACAAGCCCTAACTCAGACAATTCCAATCACATTTTAAAGGATATCGACTGATTATCGTTATCGCCAAAATCCCCAAAAATAACGAGATATTATTTTTTGCCCATATCGCCCACCCCTAGTTGAAATACTGTATTTACTACAGTTATTTGCTGACTACACAAGAGCGTTTTGCAAGATTCGCGGCCACCATAGGTTCTAGGGGTGTAACAAAATATAAAACAATTTTTTTGTGATATTGTATCGCTTCTCAAAAATGCTATTGATTTTTATATTTAAACCTGCAACCGCTAGATAGGTAAACACCACCGTTCTTATGGTATCACAACTTATCGCAATGACTCTTGCCAATACATAGCCCTAGCAGGTTCTCCAACACATTTGGAAGAAGAGGATGAGGCGAGGGATTATCACCTGCCGGCAATCTTGCAACCTCACTGCTAGATGCCACTAAATCGTACACACTGCTCCTTTAACTAGCTGGGATATAACTGCTATATCTAACACACAGCATAGAACACATTTTATTTATCCCCGTACCAATCCTACTGTTTAGTTCACGAGTCGAGAATATTATAAATTATGTATTTATGAGCACATATCAAGAAAGGCTCAGTGAACAGTTTTAGAACAGATTAAACAAACTTCCAAGACATAATTAAGATCCAAATATATGACGTGCACCTTATCAAACCCAGCCAAAGATAAATAATTTCAATCCTCTCTGTTTGCTATCAGAGTGTATTAAACTCTAGCAGACATGTGCTTTAAAAAACACACCGTGGACTAATGTGTTTACCATTTCAGGTTATTAATCTATTCATGTTGTCTATGATACATTTAGTCTGAATGCTGAGTCAGCCATTCAAAGTACAGGAGGCCAGGGGAGCCTTGCAAATCTCCATCTGAAAAACAGGAATAAATAATCCTGAAGGGCAGCTCATTATCGTCAGGTTGTCTGCACCGAGCAGCTTATTCCCTAACAGGAGTAATGAATCAGTTCTTAAGATCTCCTTTCAACACAGGCCAAAACACTCAACGTGCTAGAAGATGATCAGAACCCTGACTTTGAGCAAATTGGTTGTTCTTTTATACATTTATAGGCTACAAACGATTCCATTAGTGCAGCATATTGAATCTTTCAACACACAGTCACGTGCTACCAAAACCAAGATAACAGCAGCTAATTTGGAGAGTGAGACAAAAAGAAATGAATCAATAACTAGCAAATTATATCTTACTTCCACTTAAGTCATATGTCGGATAGAAAAACTGCCCTCTGAGAAGAAACAAGACAACATTAATCTCCTGGAGCCTTTCTCGTTCAAAACGAATCAAAGCAAATGCTCATATGTGCTCCTGTTTGTTGTTTCACAGAGGAAGTCACAGCGCAACTGTCTCCCTGTTATCAATTAACTGCTGGGTCATGGGGTTGGGAGTTGGGGTGTGGAAAGCGGATTCAAACGTGGCTGTTTTTCACCCTCCGAGCGAGCGTCTCGCAGGGACAGGTCAGTGGCACAAACACGAACCACCCTCAGTGTGATCTCAGGCAGCTTGGAAACGCTCAGGAGGACACAAAGAACCTTTATGCGCCCTGAGCACTTCCATGCACACACTGGAAATTACATTTGGCTGTGTGCACGCCGTTACCAACAGCCTCCTTTTCTACTGGGGGAATATTTTAAAGCAGTGTCATAAAAGAGACAAACAGCCGGCTCGGTCCATTTGAGGGAATGGTTTTCAACAACCCAAGTGTCCTGTTCAGTTAGCAGATAGGGGCATGTTGCAGAAGATAAAAAGAAATGGGGACATTAGAGTGGTTTACTGGACTGAACAGGGTTTTAATGTGAACTGTTCAGTGTATAAAATGTCAGGAAATAAAGCAAAGCGCCCAGAGCCCAATGTGACGTCTTCAGATGGATTGTTTTTCCTGACCAACAGTCTAAAACCCAAAAGATATTCACTTCACAAAATACATCAAAATGGTAAATTATGGCAATTCATTTTCTGTCAGCAATAACAGGGTTATGAGTCTGCACATATATTAAGGCTTTAAAGCAACCTGATAAAAGTTACTTAATTAATTCAGATAGAACTACCTAATTTTAACTTCCTTTACTTTATTCATTAAATAAACTACTATATCATTTTAATATTCATAAAAACTCAAATATAAAACAATAAATTACAGGAGCAAAGGACAAGTAATCTTACTTAAATGAGGCCTTTTTTTGCATAAATATATATAGATTTTGTTTTGTTTGTACTGTTTGTTTAAATTTGTATAATATGTTAATATTACATGAGACTGTCTGTATTCAGTATTCATTTAACTTACTGGGACATTACAGTATATGTAGGGTATTCATATGTGTATGAGATCAACATATTGTGCTGTTAGTTGCTGTTGTGTTCTCACTCACAGGGTTGTTTGGCTTGTTGTCGATTCATGTGTCTGAAAAGTCCCATGAGAGATTGGTTGTGTAAATGGCCACATGCAAAAATAAAACTATTCATTAATTCATATCTTACAGTTGCATTTCTTAGCTTATTTTAGATTTCGTCTTATTTTGGTAGTTCTTGTAGGGCTGCCTTTGTCTTTAGACACTAAATGCTGATGCACTGACACGCTTCCCATATTTTGTAAAAAGAAATAAGGGTTTTGTTGAAAAGCATGTTTATTTTCATCAAACTGAGGTACTGGGGAAAAAAAGAAGCGTTCTTGATAATAGTACCAAAAATCTGTTATCTCACTGACATTTGTATTAGCAGGGCCGTACCCTGAGGACAGTGAGGTCATGTCGCTGGTATTTCTTTTTTTCCTGGGACTTTGGGGGTTTAAGCAAGTGTTACTTCTAAATTTAAAAGAATAATAACACATTGTGGGTAATTCAATTCAATTCCACTTTTTTTATACTTGCTATAGTTACATTTGACTATTTTTAGACCAACAGAAGACATTTTTCAGTATTTCCCCATTTTTAATCGTGCCAGAGATAAGAATGCTTTTAAGCTGACTGAATGAAATTAAATGTACAGAAAATATATGAATAAATCTAATAGAACCATTCAAAATAATTGAAACATTTCAGAGACTTTAATTTGGGATATTTGGTCAGACAGTCTATCACAGGGAATTGAACTTATGACCAGAGCATTTCTCATATCCTGGCTAAAGCCCTTATATATATATATATATATATATATATATATATATATATATATATTGTGTGTGTGTGTGTGTGTGTGTGTGTGTGTGTGTGTGTGTGTGTGTGTGTGTGTGTGTATGTATGTATAGTTATATATGTATATATATATATATATATATATATATATATATATATATATATGTGTATGTATGTATAGGTATATATGTATGTATGTATGTATGCATGTATAGGTATATATGTATGTATGTATAGGTATATATGTATGTATAGGTATATATGTATGTATGTATGTATGTATAGGTATATATGTATGTATGTATGTATGTATGTATGTATAGGTATATATATATGTATGTATGTATGTATGTATGTATGTATAGGTATATATGTATGTATGTATGTATGTATAGGTATATATGTATGTATGTATGTATGTATAGGTATATATGTATGTATGTATGTATGTATGTATAGGTATATATGTATGTATGTATGTATGTATGTATAGGTCTATATGACAGGTAGTCCAGTACAATGTGACAGAGGGGTCAGGTAGGTCAAATGACCAAAGGACCAATCTTGTCTCCATGGTGGCAGAGAGCCTTAGGGGTGACAAGTGAACAAACACATGCGAACAACAGCACATTAATGATTGATATGATGGGGGGTGGGGGGGGGATGTTGAATTCAAGTTTGATTGCATCCGAAAGATAGAAGCAAGGAAGCATGATGCAGAAAGCTGCAAGAGATATTCTACTGAGATGCATAACGAGGAATCAAATACGCAAATAAAAGCAGAGAGGCCATAATGATAATCTGTTATTGTGACATGCATAATGAGAGCAGTACAGAGGCGGACAGGCTGAGGTCTCAGGCTGCTGCTGTATGTGGACTGACCACTGGCTGCTGCCTGTCGTAAACAACTCGCAGAGAACAATGGGCAGGGTTGGGTTTACTTTATCCGATTATACAAATATGAAGGCATCTTTTCTCGTGTAAGCCGAGAACCTCTTCAGACCCCACAGGAAACGCAGATAAAACCACCATGCAATGTTTAAAACATCAACGTCTACTAAATCCATCACCGGGTCTTTCCAAAAACAAGTCAGTCCAATCGCCGAGAGCTAACGTTAGCTGGGAGCAGCGACCCACACTCGGTCGGGGATTCATCTTGCCTGTCAGCTGCCTTCAGTCGGCAGAGAAACAAGCCCAGCAGCTCACGTTTAGTAAAACAAGTCATGTGCGTTGAGATTCGCTGTAAGAAAAATACATTAGATATAAATAATCGGACCTGTTTACCTGTTAGAGTAGCTGCACTCCACAGGGCGCCGCCATCTTGAACACCTCACAGCCCATCCCACCGCAGTCAGCCTCCGCTGTCGGGCTGCATGCAAACTAATCCCACAAGTTAGCGCCCCGCAAGTCGCAACCGCAACTTCCACAACCAGTTCACCCAAACAACATTTAAAATTAGTTGGTTAAATTACGTCTAATAACTCCGACCCAGGAGTTACATCTGTAGCCAGACAAATTCGTAGCTCTGCTGCAAAGCTAAGATTGTTTTTCCATCTCCCCATTGGTGGAAGGATGAAGTGTGTGTAATGCGGTTTCGCGTGACCCATATGTGAAGAGCGCACGCGCAAATTAGATTTTCTTTTTTTATTTTATTTTTTTATTTTTTATTTTACCAGGTAGCGAGGAGATCGATATGGAAGCCCATTTCTGCCAGAAATAATTAAAAATAAGTATAAAGGATTAAAAAGTTTGAAAAGCAAAAAGATCAATGTTTGGTGGGACAAAATTATGAGATAGTAAAGCAAACGTATCACATACTTTTACTTTTAAAGTCAGATAAATGGAAAGTATGTCGAAATTGTAAATATGTTTCATTTAAAATTTCAAAATCAGGCAAATAGGGAGTAATACACATTATTTTTGTTACAAACGTTCTAATAATTTAACTAATTTTCATATAATATCATAATCTTGACTTAAAAAAGTAATGGTTATGACATATTATCATTTCACGTTAATAGTCAAAACTGTGATTTACTATATCATAATTTTGATTGAGGCCTGCCACAGATATTTTTATTTTTGCTATTCCTAACATCTCATATTGTCATTTTATATTGGCATGAATGGGATTCCATACTCTCAATACTAATAATAAAGCTGAACCTGTGTTTATTTTACATTCTGATTACATGTAACATCACATACTATGGCGCTGCATCACTGTCACTAACAATCGCTTTCTATGAAAACTATTCTGATTAAACTGCTGGCCTGGCAGTATATAACTGAGGACTGATCATTTGTTTTGGCTCACTCGTTCAAGATTTTAAGACTGCAAACAGGGTCATAATTCAGCAGAAAGTTTTACTTAGAAAATCAACAGCATGTGAGCAAAATAGGACTTTGAGAGCCAAAGTTTAACTCATGAAGTGTGAACTGAACTGAGGTCACTTGGGTGTCGAGAGTAAAATAAACAGCAGAGTTCTATTAGATTAAACTAAATTCAACTTAATTGTCATAACACAAGTGCCAGTTCAATTAAATGTGGTTTAGGATCAAAACAGAAAGTGAAAATAGTCATAGACACACACACATACACTTTCATGTATGTATACTATTATTATTATTATTATTATATACTATTATGACATGTATGTTATGCAGTGTAATATGTACAGTGTACAGTGGATTCCTCCTTACATGAGTTAAAATCTCAATTAATTGAAGTGTGGTGCATGCTTAACAGAGGAGATGGACTTTTCTCTTTTGTAGTCCATGTCAGTCTAAATTTAATTAGGTTGTGTTAAATTAGCCTTTAACTATAGGGTAGGGATTGTCTGAGCATGTTTGCTCGTTTACAGCAACAGTTACCACTGAAAAAATAAGATAACAGGAACAAACAGAATCACAAACAGAACAGAACAATAAACAAACAGGAGCGGCAGGGTTGTTGGTGAGGCCCTCGTGACTTTAACCAGCCTCATATCAGACAATGTCAACTCCATTTAAACACACTTTGTCCAGTGGGCTAGGCTGTTGTGCTGTGTGAGTGTGAGTGTGTGTGTGTGTGTGTGTGTGTGTGTGTGTGTGTGTGTGTGTGTGTGTGTGTGTGTTTATACATCCCTGTTTCAGGCCTGCAGCGCTTGTCCAGCAGGGGTTGCAGCAGTAGCAGTTTCAGACCTTTGCAAGCACAAACAAACGCCCATTTAAGCTCTTTGTAAGTCATTTAAATAGGAATCAATCTTCATTGGGTCATATTAACATACTTAATAATGAAGCTATTAAGCTAATAGCTAACAATCCAGGTACTTCTTGTTACAGTTGCTTTTTAATATTACATTGTAGTATATAACTAATCATTACTCGTAGTATTATAACATCCAGTGGATAATAATATTCAAAATTCATACTCTGGCATTTCTTAAACAGTTTTGAGTGAAACTGAGACTAAGGCATGTTCATACGAAGCTTTATCATGACACGTAAGCTACAGTTTATTTATCAATTTTGTAGCCGATTATTTTCATTATGCACAAACAACATCCACAAGACGTATCTATGTAACATAAAGTAAACACACATTACATAACATAATTAAAATAAGCTTAATGAACAAATTGAATAGTGTGAAGAAATAGTCAGTGAACTTGTTACCACTCCCAAACTATATCAGAGATCCTTTAATACATGCACTTATTGCTGTTCAAGGTTTATTTACATCACTAATGTCATGCCTTTTTCACACCAAATGTACATTTCCCATCTTTAAGTGACTGAAATATATTTAGCCTGTGGAAACAGAAAAAGATGCCTGACCTACAAGCCAGCATTGGATCACCGGGCACCTTCGACTGACACTGACTGTAGGCTGTACTACTAAACCTAACCTTTGTCACACACACACACACACACACACACACACACACACACACACACACACACACACACACACATATAATATTACAAATACATTCATTTGAATCCAGGGGAAATCCAAGAAATCCAAGCCCTGGAAGTGTCAAGCTACAATCTGTCCACATGATGTCGCACTTGCACTTCTTCCCTCATTTAAATTCTCTTCTCAAAATGTTCCTCGACTCTTGAACTCCATGTTTGTTTTTTGACAAGCGGACATTATTTATTCATTTTTATCAAACTGTTTTCCCCAAAAAATATTTAATTGCCCAATTTTGCCATTTTTATCAACACATTTTTGCCATTCTGTAGCCTACACGTGTGACACTTAAAGCACTCTGATAAATCTGTCATGTCTGAATATCAATATGCTTCAATAAATACAGACTGAGTCAACACTGCAAATCTCCCAGACTGGTTTGGTGTGTGCTTTGGGGTGTGATGTGGAGTTGCTTCTGTCTCATAAGATGTTTCGGCTTTGTAAATCTTGCACACAACACAGTCAAAGGTATTCACACACCCTTACTCAATGTAAATGATGTAAATCAAAGATTGTGAGGAGGAAATATTCGGTCGGATTTTTAGTTGAAACTCTTTTTTGTGCTTTTTAAAATGTATTTAAACCAAATAGGCTATCTGGGTTTTTAATTTAAATGTCTTTTTAAGATCAGCGCAAATACGCAGTTAAATGCAAATAAATTATCCTTCGTTTAAGGCACGGAAATTATTTGCTTGAAAAGTATCTCTAAACCTAAACTTTAACTCTTTAACCCTTACGGTTTTTTCTCGGAGCACTAGGTGTTTTGTATAACTGTTCCAGGGACAGCAAAGGCCCTGTGTGTGTGTGTGTGTGTGTGTGTGTGTGTGTGTGTGTGTGTGTGTGTTTTCTTTTACGCAAATTTCCACCTGCAGGTTGGCCTTTTCATTGGTTGAAACCACAGTCAGATTCTCCTGCGCAATTATCTGATTGAAAATCAGGGAGGGGAGAAACAGTAAGAGCACCAAGTGTGATGGTTTTACGCTGCTTTGCTTTCCCGACTTTTAGGAAAGGATTTTGCGACGCATTTTTCCTCCGCAGAGCCCACTCACACCCAAACGACAAGGACTTTATTATTATTACTGTTGCTGCGAGTTTAATTCCGACGGGAACCTGCTCAGTTAACGGTGAGTATCTGCTGCCTGTAAAATAAAGTCTCAACCAACGAAAGGGACACTTTTTACGACTTTTGTTAGTTTTCCACAAGTGATAGATTCATTTAAAATGCGAAAACATCAAAAAAAAGAGATCCTAATTAAACTTTGTTTGTGGGCCTGTTGACCAAATAAAAGAAGAAATAGTAATTTATATTACTCAATTAGTGCGAGAGTTTAACGTATGTATAATAATATAGGAAATTAAATTACAACAGAGTATTACCGAAATAAACACTGAAAGGATTTTAATTAAATATAAAAGTAGCCGAAAGATCTTTTCCCTTGATTAATATTTTATTGACATTCATGCTTTATTCCAAAATATGTTTTGTTTTGTTTTTTATTGTGTCGTTATAAGGATTTTTATTTGTTTTGTCCAGGTGGATCATCATGCCCCGGTCATTTCTGGTGAAAAACAAAAGGTGCACGTCCTACAATGTTCACCGATCACAGAAAGACGACCCGAAGACCCCCATGAAAGGAGGTAAGAGTCGGGGAAAAAAGTTTATTATCTGAATATGTGAGCGAAGCAACGGTTACTTACTGCTGTCTCATCTTACTGCCTTATCGTTACTTTAAAGCAGCTGCTGCGTTTGGAACATTTGCACGTATTTTTTAGGCAAATTTAAAAAAAAAGAAATGCATTAATCAGGATGATAATGAACTCATATATCAGTCTAAAGTTCAGCACATCAAAGTTCAATACCGAGTAGGTGTTTCCTATTTAAACAAAATGTCTTCCAAGAGGAGCTGCAGGGTTTTGTTTTTATAGAATATTTACTCAGTCTTTTGCTTGAATGAATCACACTTTTATTTGTTGTGGATTTGCAGATGTGCCACCAGAGGTTCAGAGCACAGACTCAGACGGGCCTCAGTCAGAGGAGCAGTCTTCCCCTCAGAGCCGCTGCTCCTTTAAGGAGGAGGCAGAGCGTGAATGCCTCTTACCTGCTCACCCAGAGCCCACCAGGCCCCCTGTGGCTCCCACACAGCCATATTACCTAAATGGTGAGCTGCTAGTGCCTTTATCTTTTTCTGCTGCAGTATAACTTTTAATTAGAGAGGTAAAACATGATTTCTTTTTGTGTGTGTCTGCATCCTCAGAGCCTCACATGGCAGGATTCTCTCCTTACTACAAGCCGTCGTATGCCTGGGAGCCAGTGCCTTCCTCCTATGAGCTCCGTCAGATGAGCTTCAGCCCCACAGTGCTGCAGCACGCCAGCAATCTGTACGGCAGCCACATCAGCCACACCACACAGCCTCAGCAGCCTCTGGACTGCAGCACGCACTACTCCCCCTCCTCCAACACCTACCACTGTATCACCTGCGACAAAGTACGCACCACCTGTTAGTCACTCACATGTGCACATAACCGTACAATACTATAAAGGTTAAATCTGTAGATTTTCATCAAGACAAAACGGAAATGTAAATGTATTGTAAAGTGGTTTCTGTTATCAGGCACCCCCATTAAAGGTCTAACTCTGTTTTAGGTGTTCTCAACGCCCCACGGACTGGAGGTCCACGTCAGGAGGTCACATAGTGGAACAAGACCTTTTGGCTGTAACATCTGCAGAAAAACATTCGGCCACGCCGTCAGTCTGGAGCAGCACATGAATGTCCATTCTCAGGTATATCAGTGACTACAATATTATATAATTTTAAAAAAGCAGCGGTGGCAGAGAAATTCTGACTTTTAGTCTCTAGTATGGGCCAAGTTCATACTCTGGAATGTCACAGCTGTCCTATATTTATACGTTGTTGAGTTAACTTCACTAAACCCAACATTTGATTAAGTTTAAGTTCAATATTGAACTAACTAAATCCCTGGATTTGTTTTATAGTGTATAGCTGAAGAATAATAATTTAACAAATAATCTCACTGCAAGGTCCATTTACTGGCTGTTGTGGCGCTTTTGATCATGTCATATGATCTTCCTCATTACATGGAGTTTAATGGATACATGGAGTCAAGTTGTCACAGAACCTCATATGTTCTAATTTCAACTTTTTTCTTCTTGTTCATGTCAGCTATTGTATGACATTTTGGGCTTTCGATCATGTAATTTGATCGAAAGCACCAGGACAGCTACTAAATGGACCTTGTGATGTGATCGTTTTGCCAAAGGCTGTTTTCAAGCCCAAAAAATGAACTCTGAAGCTCTACCTTTCTGACAACCTGTTGACACCTTTTGTACATTTGCCTTCGATCAGGAAAAAAGCTTTGAGTGCAAAATGTGCGGCAAAACATTCAAGCGCTCCTCCACTCTCTCCACGCACCTGCTAATCCACTCAGACACGAGGCCTTACCCCTGCCAGTACTGCGGCAAGAGGTTCCACCAGAAGTCTGATATGAAGAAACACACGTACATTCACACAGGTAAGTCACAGTATGTAGATTGTTTTACAGTAGACGGCCATATTGTTTTTACGACACTAAAAGACATAAAATATGAACCTGTCAAAGGCTCCACTTGCTGTAATCATCTGCTTTCCAGGTGCAGGATATAGGAATTGTTTCCAGGAGTTATATAACTACTGATAAATCAGAAAAAGAAACTTAAACAAATGTCCTGTTGATTTGCATATCTGGTTTTCCTGCTTCATGCTGGCTCTGTAAAAGGAACTCTATGCTGCCGACATTTGTTGCCAATAAATGTTTGACAAATCTGAACAATGGCACGATTCTTCAGCCAGAGATACCAATGCAAACTTTATCCTTCTGGTAAAAACATTTACGGTACGGATGACAAACCGGAATTTCTAGAAGCAATAAGAAAGGAAAACATTAAACATGACTTCCTTTACGCAAATTATTTGAAAATTATCCAAGATTTGATTGAGTAGATTTCTCACAGTTTTTATGTTTTATTTTGCAGGTGAAAAGCCCCACAAATGCCAAGTGTGTGGGAAAGCGTTCAGCCAAAGCTCCAACCTGATCACCCACAGCAGGAAACACACAGGTTTCAAACCATTTGGATGTGACATTTGCTCCAAGGGCTTCCAACGTAAGGTGGATCTTCGTAGGCACCACGAGAGCCAGCACGGCATGAAGTGAAAGAGGAACGAGCATGAGAACCTCAGGTGTTTGTACGTGTACATTTCTATCCAAACAATAAGCTGATACTGATGTAATCTAGATGTCTGGTATATTTTGGATGGCCTTTATAGATAAAGTATAAGAATTTGGAAGCTGTGAAATTAAATTCAAATTGAAGGTGATTTAGACTCTTGTATAATGAAGAAACCAAGTAGCTGAATAAAATGTAATATATTGGAAGTCATCTTCTTTCAAAGAAGATGTGTTTGCATGTGGATGAATGGGAGATGTGCTGATGTCATATAGATTAAAAATATGTTTTTGGTTTTTCATTTTAAAACATTATTTTTTTGTTCCATATAATTTATTTAAACTCTGTTAGAGCAATGTGTTGTACATTGGCAGGAGTCTGTGTGTGAGCTGATAAATGCTTTCAACTGAAATAAAAGTGTAAAGTGAGAAGGAAAATGTGGTTGTTCTGTTAGAATAGACACATACAAAGTGAGATAGAATTTAGAATCCTAATATAAAATACAAATACATACACTGTTTGCTTAAGATGACATGATGAGCACACTGTAAATACACCCTTTTCTCCCCGTTCTACTCTTTCTGTGTGTTTTTCTGAGTAACTTTCCTGTCGGAGCAGGATGTAGAAAGATGTGACTGTAGCCTCGGGTGAAAATCCCTTGCGATAGTGTGTAATGGAGTAATCCTGCATTCAAATGACACTCCTGCATCGCCATGCAAATCTTAGGCCGGTGAGCTATTCATTCCTGGGAGTCGAGTGGAAAGCAGAGGAAGGAACTGTAGCAGGCGTTCAGTTGATTTCACTCTGATGCTTCCTCATTATTACATGAGATGCCAAAAGCAGCTCTATAATCTCAGTAAAAATCTGAATTGCACAAACTGTTAGCTAGACCATTATGAATTTTGGCCACACACCCTTTGCATACATCCAGCGGTAGCCTGCTTGGCCTTTATGGTACACTAAGTCTAATGGGATTAATAAGAGGCTGTGGATGAGGGATTGATTACTTAGTCAACTGTCACCACACCCAGGCAGCTTGTTGGATTTACTTCAACAAACAAATGTTGGTTCTAACGAAGACACACCACCTTCCTCAAACACCAAACCTGTTAGGATATTAAGCTGCTTGAGGCAAATCAGATCATCACCTGGGCCTTTGAAATCTGACAAAAACAAAATGACGGTCACAAAAAACTGAATGTCAGAATTTTTAAAAAGATAGGTTAGGCCAACTACTGATGTGACATCACGCTAACAACACCTTTTTCAGCTTAATGGATCCTAAACTGGGTCTAAAAATTACTAGAGCTTGTAGAAATTAAAAGATGCAATCATAATTCCTCCAAAAATGTGTATTATTTACCTATGTTGTGTCACTGCTACAGAAATCAGTGTCTATGCAGGGGGAGAGAGGACACATGAAGCCTTACTGTCTGGCAAACAAATCTGAGGTCTTTATGCAAAATGTGTTGATATTACCAGGGCAACAGGGTCAGTTGTCATCCTCCATTACAGTTACACCCGCTGCCAGCAGCCGCTGTATCCTGGTGAAAGGACACAGAGCAAATCAAAATCTTGCACAGGTAACCAGCAGAAAAAAAGGAGACAGAGAGGATCATTTGGGTGGGACTAAACAAACAGGACATGGGTCCTGAAAGGGGAGGAGCGGCGCTGCAGGTGTAGCCTGGGGGAAAACGGGAAAAAATGAAGACAGGTCTGCATACACCTGAAACATTCCTTCACTATTATACAGGTGTACGGGTGTGAAAAGCTTAATGCGGAGAGTCCTTTTAAGTTTTTTTAGCACAGATGTCTGGCAAACCAGCAGATGAGGACTGAACTAGATGTGTTTTGTGGTTACTCAGCCCTTGATCATTTGCATAGGTGTGTTGCCTGAGGTGTTGTGGTATCCTTAAAGTTGCAAATGTACTTGATTTTCTTCCTAACTGTTCAGCTCTCACCGAGCTTCACCTGTCTGAGAACAGTTCCTGAATGTTTGTCAGATGCTGCAACAACAGGAAAACATTTGAATATATTTCAAAAGTAGTGTTTGTAGTGTGTCAAACATCAATATCCCGTCTGCAAGTTATTGCATGAACAGTGGAGTAAAAGCAAAATCTGATATGAGGAACAGAGCAAATCTGTCCCATCCAGCAAAGACCAACCAACAAATACAAACAAACAAAAAACATAAACATTAGTAAGGTGTGTCAAAATCAACACCTCAATCTAAATGCAGCTCTGTCCCACACACACACACACACACACACACACACACACACACACACACATACATACCTGGCAAAGAAATGGAGCACAGAGCTGAAATTTGTCTTGCAAATTGATTCTATGCAAATGATCCATGGCCAGTACTGTGGAAAGGCTGGAAGGGTGGCTGAACATGGCCCCAGGCATCAATGACACATTCATGGAAGACAGTGTGTTCCCCATGAAGGGCCACTCTCTCCCTTAGAGATCAAAATCTGGGTCATTATTTACTGTTATAAGATATCATCACTAAATAGAATGTTTTGTCGCTACTTGTATCTCCAACTGGCTCTTGTTTTGGACATAAACATTTCCCCCTCAAAGAAAATCACTTTTACAGTTGCAGGACACAGATTCGTTCTCTTGTTCTTCCTGTTTCTTCTGATTCCATGTAGCTTGTTTCAGCCATTTAGATTTCTGCGTGTTTATCCCAACCTGTGAAACATAAACCGTCGCTCTCCCTTCTTTGACTGAGCAGCATGTTGTATGTTTTTAATTAAATTCAGGGCAAACACATGAAAGGAGGAAAAAGAGTGGAAACTGGTTCATTAGGTTCAACATTACATCTAGAAAGAATATGAAATAAAAGAAATATTGTAGACTTATTAAATGTGGTTTGAAATTTAAATTCAGGAAATGTTTTCTACTAAATATAGCAGCACAGGAAGGAGGCAAGACACGACGCAGATACAAATATATTATATTATTTCTAGGAAGAGGTGTTACTATAGATGAAAATATATAAAAACAAACTAACTAGAGCTGCTGCTTTTAGTGCTTTCACACTTCTCATGCCTGTTCAAAAAAGTATATTACTATTTCTCATGAATGATTGTAGTGTAATTTTGGAAAGATGGATATTATATGGAATATATGGATTTTATATATAATAAAAATAATATTGAGAAACAGAATCTGGCATTCGAAAGTTATTAACTGAAGAAATAAGCTGAGTGATGACAGAAAGGACTTAAAGCATCTGTTAATCAGAATATTGAAAGGTTTTGTTGTTAAAAGTGATCGAGAACATGCCAATTATATTGATAAAAAAACAGCAACAACAACAAGAAGATATCTACAAAAATTAGGTCCTAAAGTCATAATTATAAACACAGGAAAGCCATAGAATTGTGTTGCCTATGTGAAGCCAGTGTTAAAAGACATACCAGTGATCACTTTGTTTTTAGACCGACAGAAAATAAACTGTCAGCAGATTTCCTCTGTATGACTGGACACAGGAAGATACTGTATGATCACATCCGCTGCTGTCACACAGTGTCGGGGTGTGATATTGTTTGATTGCCAGTGACACTGTGTTGTGGTCCAGTGCGTCCTGCCCTCCCATAGATAAAGTACAGCAATGAAGCGTCCAAGAGGCCACGCCCACAAAGTGTCATACCAGAGTGATGTGGAGAAGAAAAAAAAAAAGACCAACATTTCCTGTGGTTGCTTCTTCTGGGATTTAATCTATTTTACAAGTAGGCAACACAACCCGGTGCCTTCAAGTTACATCCAGCCTGTTATCATTGTACAAAGAGCCTGAACAGGAAACAGAAAACTACAACTCTGAAGATGCTCATGAACATCCCTCAGTGGCAGCCTCAGGAATCCTTTTCAGTAGAGGGTTGCTTTTACCTTCATTCCTCACAAAATACATTCTATTTTCTTGCAGTAGATTCATTTATCCACGCGCCTGTCTGGCGTGCCAATCAAATATGTCAGTGGTAAATGCTGATACTAGTTGGCCCAGTGGTCTTGGATGTAAGCCATGTGGTGAGTGGTATCCAAGGAACCACATGCCATCCCCTGCTTTCTGTGCCTGTGCTTCCTTGATAAAACCAAACAGAAAATGCCATAACATTTTCAAAAGAATTACTTAATATTTCTCAATAATTAATAATAATAGACGTTTTAACTTATTTAAAGGGTTTTTCCTTAATAACATAAACCTGAATTCTTTCACTTTAATACACTTCCCAGGAAAATATTAAGGCAGCATCATTATAAGCAGAGAGTCTAATTCAAAACCTATAGGGTCCCCTCCAGTGGGTAGTTTTGTGCGATGATAAACAGAATAGGAATGCAGAAAAATGGTAACTAGCTGAGAAATGATTCGATCAGAATTGGATCAATTTGGTCCAATCATTTGGTCCCCAGTCAAGTTAGTTAGCTGGCCCGGCTCTATGGGCCACACGATGCAGAAGATCCAGGTAATTTGTTGAACTTTTTTGGCTTTATGAACAACTTCTACAGGAATGAACAGAGCTCCGCCTCCAATGCTGTATCCAGTTCTCCCTTAATACATCCATGATTGACAGGCAACCAAATGATACAGGCAGACTTTTAGTTTTATTAACTTACAAATTACTGTATAGTTTTTCATCTTCGGGCCTCTAAGAATTACTCAAATAAAACAGGGAAACAAAACTCTTTGATGATCTAGGTCACGGAGCAAGAATATTCAGCCAGTGATGTGGGTCACAAGTTGTTTTGTTTCAGGGTCACAGGCAAAAAAATGTTGGGAACTACTGGACTTTGTAATTAAAAATGTAATGCGTGTGCGGCTTTTGACAGTCGTGGGCAAACCTTCACATCAGACTTGTTGAATACATTAAAAAAGTGCTGCCAAAGCAATCACAGATGATGATCTTCTGCTTTGCATACAGAAAATGACTAACTTTGTAGGTGTGGCCTAATGTCTTCAACACACGTCTGAATATGGCCAAACAGCCTTTATGACGCCAGCTGCGGGTCCACATGTTGGAGGTGCTGAAGTTGAGAGAAGGGATGACATGATAGGGGATATACTCAGAGTGAGTGGGAGCAAGGGGGGTGAAATCTGAGGGCAGCATGCTCTTTCAGAGTAAGCCGGGCGGTGCAGACTGTCTGATAACCTTATCACGCCCTCCCCACACTGTAACGGCTGGAACAGGCGAGCAGAGCTACAGGGAGGAGCGGACAGGCCATGGACTGAGATAGCACCAAGGGCTGGACGAATACTCAATGGGTGAGGGCCCCCTAGAGAAAGAGAGAACATGAAGACAGAATAAGAAAGATTGTCAAAATCCTTACTTCACCACAGCAGCAACAGATTGTCAGTCAGAGCTTTGGGTACCTTCTGTCCCCTCCCACAAAACACTGAGCTTCATAACAGTGAGATAGGCCAGGCTGAATGTCACCTTTTATGTTTTTATTGAAGCTCTGATAGTGTTCACAAAGATGCCTCAGTCAGTTGCATGCTTCAATTCAATGCTTCAGAATATGATAGACTCACAGGAACACGTAGCTAACATGAAGAGAGTACAAACCGACAAAACAAACTGAGATTCAAAAGAAAAGTAAATAAACTGAAATTAAAAAAAGGAGTGATCCGAGTTTCCTAATATTCTCAAGTCTGTTCTTCATAGTAAACCTGATTCTTTCCAAGATTAAGGGTACCTGACAAACCATTGAGCTACATTCAGTTTCCCGGTGTTGTAGTTGTTTCACTGTCATTATAAGGCTGTACGCAACAGGCCCTTTTCACAGCAGCACGGTGTCATAGCAGACTACCATCATTATCAGTTACTTCTTTGCTGCTATGACATCCCAGCCAGAGTCACATGACAAAATCATAATCAGTTTCATCTCTGTGTATCCAGTACAGAGACTGATCTGGGAACTGCTTAGCCTAGCATAGCGCAAAGACTTGAAGCAGGGGGGGGAAACTGTTAGCATAGCCACAAGCAAACAAAACAAACAAAAAAACACACTTTCCAAGAGCTCCAAAGGTGTCCTATTTACTACTTTGCATGTGACATTTTGGATTTTGTTACATGCAGGCCACTGTGGGGGTAGTCTGTGTGTGCCGTCAGTTACTGATATCTACATGTGTGAAAGAAACAAGATGAAATAGACAATTTTGTCACTGATGGAAGGCATGTTTTTTTTTTTACTACAGCTTTTAATTTTAAACATGTCCCAGACCTCTCTTTGGATAGGATGCACAGAGATGAAATACAGTGTGACCCACCGGTGGATAATTCATTGCACTTCTACATCCAGCACATGAGGGTCCAACAGCATCATATTCTCAAGCCGACCTTCAGTTAGGGAAGTACACATGTGTGGGAACATGTGGGAAGACATATACCATATGTTTGGATATACCAGACATTTCAGTCATTCTTCACTTATTTTCCACAGTGTTCTTTAAAAATACAACTCAAATGAAGGTGATTGAAAAAAAGGAATATAAGATGGCTATAGGCCCATATAGTTCAAATCCAGTGTTAAGCCTTGTGCTCCCTAAGGCATAAGAAAAGAAGACAAACTAGAATCAAAGTAAACACTATGCTACATCAGGCTGTAATTGCCTGTATAACAGAATCTTAAATCACTCGGTAAACACAGAAGAGAACTGTTTCTCCAAAGTGTTCCTCCTTCTCTGAGGGGATGACAGTCTGTTGACAGTTTCTGGGAGGGACAGCACACAAATCCGCTTTACTGAGATCCCTCTGACAACAGCGGCTGTCTCTGATGTCCTCTGACAAAACAAAAATAATTGTATTGGGTGTTAAAATACTCCATCCTCTATATAAAAGAGTAACCCATAGACAGATCCTTTTAATAGGCTCAGAGCATTCAAGAAGTTTTCGTGCACTTGTGTTTAACTTTGAGGCAGATTCTCAATCGTTCCCACAGCCGGAGAATTCCCTTCATCCAGCGCATCCTGTTTGGTTGTACAGCGCCACCATGTGGCCAAATGTGCACATTGAGTTCAGTGTGGCGTCATTGTTTTTGTTTTTTTTTTAAACTGGGAAGAAAGGAATAATATACAGTGAAAGGGTTAGCGGACACGGAGAACAAACAAGTATGATATTATTTTTATTTATTAAAGAAACATATAAAGACAAGAAAAAGTAGAAGAAAAGAAAGACAATGATTTTATCTAACTATCTTTTTTTTGCATTTATATAAATATATCAAGCATTACATGAATTTACTGGCAGACTTTAACGATTTTTTTTACTTGTAAGATCCTCAAAATCCTCAATGATGGCTTGGAATTTAACTCACAACAACAATGGTTAATGTGTGTTAATGTACATACCGGTATATACATACAGGCGGAACTGTGTGTGCGCGTTGGCGTTTCCGCCCGGCGTTATTTTGCACTCGGACACAAAGTCACGCTGGTGTAACAGCAGAAGAAGCAGGTTGAGCGCGTTCATTGACCTGCAGCTTGTGTTTGAACTGCACTGCTCTTTATGCCCGCTTAAATCTCACAATTAAAAGAGCCAACATGGCGGATTCCACGGAGCTGAAGCTGGACTTTACTCTGAAGGAGTTGACTCTTTCCTGTCAGTCAGATAATGTCGATGTTCCCGGTAACTCGTCCACCGTGGAGCTGCGGGACAACCGACTGGTGTGTGTGGAGTATCCGGCGGTGGTCAGCAGTGTGGACAAGATGCTGGAGACTCTCGGGGGCGAACAAGCGTTTACCAAAGTAAGCAGAGCATAAGTGGGACAGACTGTAGTAAGCTTTTATATATATTTATAAATATATATATATATATACAGTCAATGGTGGTAACAGAGCGGGCAGACACTTGAAACAGTGTTAAATACCGTTACAGTTCACAAAGTCTACCATGTTAAAATAGCTCATTTACGTGCAATAAATTGTGGGACAAGTGAGTATGTATACTTTTTTAAGTTATTGCCGCCATTTATGTAATTTTATTATATATATTATAATCCTAATATATTGAAATTTGGAGGTATTCGAATTTAAAAGGCACATAGCTTGATAGTTAGCCAAAATGATACATTTCAGGATTTCCAAAACATTGTCCACTTAACAAAAGAGTTGTTGTCTTTAAGTTGTACGCAGGCAGGCAACGCAGTTGTAACCTTTTTTGGGAGGTGGTGGGGGGGGGGGTTTGGGAATATGCACCAGCAAAGTTCAATATCTGCTGACATGATGAGGACCTTAAGGTGGGTCCTGCTTTATTACCCTATTTTGAGGCAGTGAGGAGGGGTCAAAATGGGCCCCCGGTGGGTTTGTAGCACGTTTCACTGATTGTCACTATGTCTGCAGTGTATAAGTCGATAGTTATGTTTGATTTTGATGAAAGTGAATTGAATAAAGTCAAATGTTAAGTGACTTGTGTAAAGGTAATGGTCAACATCTTTGCTCTGGTCAGAGCTTCATCCTCCCCGCTGTAGCTAAACTGCTCTAATCTGACACCTGTCTGCATTTCCTGTTCGTCCCCTAGACCTTTGCTCACCCCAACAGACGTCTTGAGCTGCGTTACCGACCCCAGGACCCTTTCTGTCACTCCGTCTGTGGAAATCGCTTTCCCTCCAGCAACCTCCTTCTCAGAGTGCGGCGGCGAGTGCGGAAAAAGGATCCCAAGGATGCTGAGATCCACATGGATATACTCGGAGTCATAGGAACGACATACAAATTCCAAGGTAAGGTTAAAAGATGTTTTTGAATATTTCAAATGATTGGAGTTTCAAAAACCCAGTTTGATTGTGCGAAAACAAGAGATATATAAAGATATAGAATAAAATAATAGATGAGGTTGGTTGTTCTGATTTATTTTTTTGTAGGGATGGCAGACTTTCAGTGCCTCGCAGTGCATTCAGAAGGCGGAAAAGACACGTCTTTGTACGACAAAATCATCCTCCGCAAATCAGAGAATCAAGAGTTCTTTGAGCAGCCCATGCCTTACTTTCTTCCCCCGGCCATCTTCTCACGTCTCGACTGCCCTGTGGATTATTTCTACCGGCCTGATGTCAATCAAAAGTCAGTGTTAAAGCTCTGTGGGAATGAAATCATTCACTCCGTCAACCTTACAGCTTCTGCTTAGTTCCATTTGTCAAGTGTGGTTATTTTTCGTGTATAAACAAAAGTATTGATTGATTGATTTTATCTTACCTATATCCTAATCAGAAACATACTTATAATATTTCTCCTCCTTTCTCTTTATAGCCAGCCGCCCATCAATAAGAAGAACTTTATTGGTTTGAATCGCGCTCGTCGGCCCCACAATGCCATTTTTGTAAGCTTCAGTGATCCCACAGTGCCCAATGAGTCCCTCGAGGCTGCCAGGATCAACTGGACACGAGTCTGCCTAAAGGAGCTCGACAAGCAGGCTGAAGAACAACTGAAAAAGGTATGTGTGCTGCTGAAATCAGGGTTCCCAGTGACTGAAAGCACAATACACTCTCTGATTGCTAGATTCATTCGTATAATGGATAAAACCAAGTCACTCTGATGTCTTTTATTACAGCTGGAGGGACAATAACTTACACCAGAGTGCCAGAAATCCAGACTGGCTTCTCCAGACAAAATGCAATTTCAGGGCTCATTAGATACAAATAAACTGGTCTTTAATTGAATCAAATTATACCCATTATGAGAATTTGCTGCCTTTCTCTGTTTTATATCAAGATAAATTTAATGTCTTTTGGTTTTGGGCTGTTGGTTGGACAAAATAAGCAATTTGATGACATTACTTTGGTCTCCTGGAAATAAATCATTTTTCATCATTTTCTGACAATTGATTGACGAAACTATTCTCAAACAAAACTGATTGATTAACTGATAGGGAAGACAGGCGTTAGTTGTAGCCCTAATATTTTCCTCCCCCCAGTTCTGTTCAGTTTTCATTTCTTTTTTGCTCCTGGTGTATTTGCTTTCAGTGTTATTCACCATCTCTTTCCTCATAAACCATTTGTAAGGCTGTTGTTTTGAAAAATTCACACCTCACATCAACCAGTGACTGCCAGTAAAATGCAGTTCTTTTTCCATAATTTCATCCTTTTTGACAGTCACTCTATTGACCAGTGTGTTCACACCAGAAATGGCATCTGGTTGAAGTTGTTCTATGCTCTTACACAGGTATAATTTAACATCATTTTCTGGGCGTTTATCTTATCTCAAACCAAATGTTTTGTGCCTAGATGTTTGAGAGTCGGCCCATCTGGTCACGAAACGCAGTCAAGGCCAACATCAACATCCACCCTGATAAACTAAAGCTGCTGCTGCCCGTCTACGCCTACTACATGGTGAGCTGAGGGGAAAAACGTGTGTGTTTAGTAAAGAATTCAAGGGTGAATTTCAAGGACGGTTCACCTCGTTTTAAGATATTCAGATATATTTTGAAACTATAAAATATTAAAATGGAGCACTAGTCATCAGTGAGGTGTTGCTTTAAAGTAGCTGAGCAGAAATGTCTTAAAATGGAAACTCATGTATTTATATTGCAAAGCTACTTTACTGGATTGTTTTT